CCCCCAAAAGCAAAAACCTGCTATCTGCCATAAAGCAAAACACATTGATGATGCTCAGAGGATGGAAGTTCCTGTGATGCAAACCTGGACTGTTGGTGTGAAATCTGTGTTGCACACCGAGGTGTCGAGTGAGGGAAGTTGTCATGAGGATTTGAGGAAATGCATGTTCTCACCTTTTATTGGTCAACTTGACTGATGTACATTTACGCCACCAGTTTTCTAGAGAACTAGGCTTTGTGAAGCACCTTTCATTGACTGTCGGCTATGTTTCCTGTCACGTTGTAGCATCAGGGAAAGTCACACTGTGGTTTTTTATTTTCATGCATAGGAGTTATAAAGATCTATTCACCTATGTTTTTGTACAGATTATTTTCTCACAATTTTCTTAGTTAGCTATTTTGGATACACACTTTGTATTAATTTTTAAGCTTTGCTTATTTGTGGCAGTTACAAAATAAAACACGAAACGGGAGAGTTTTTCTTATGTGGTTTTGTCGTGCAACGTAGTAAATTAAGCCCTTTCAGCATTAGACTCAAGCTTGAATGTTGGTTTTAGTTTTATATTGAATATTGTTAAAGTAAGGAAGCAGAGCAAATGTTTCTGAAGATCTAGTTTAACTGTACATTTCACTGCTGCAAGCTAGAAATCTAATCAATGAGAAGGATCTGAGGTAGTTTCCGGTCGCCAGACCGTTAGTACCAGTAAATTAACAGCTGTAGCGCAGTGGAAATGCACTTGCTGGGCAGTGGTTTCAGCGGGTAAACAGTTCACTACATCTCCTCCCCCGTGTGACGCAGTCCTATTACAAAGACCAGTTGACATCACTTCCTTGTTCTGTAGTTTATGTAAACTGCGAGACATTAACGTGACTTGTCTGTAGTTACTATGTTTCCTTTTTTCGTATTTTAACTAAACGTCCGTCGTCTCACAGAGTTTTCCCCCCGAAAACTCTCAAACATGGCTTGTGCTGATTCAGATCTTGACCTGGAGACGATTCCTCTCATCGCACTGAATGTGACTGTGAGGAAAAAGTTAGGGCTTTACCTTAATCCTAAAAATGCAGTTGCCGCGGACTGGACGGCTGTTGCAGAGGCCATGGACTTCAGTTACCTGGAGATAAAGAACTATGAAGCGACGAAAAACCCCACCACAATGGTTCTGGTCGACTGGCAGGCTCGGGCCACAGACGCGACGGTGGGAAAGTTGTTGTCAATCCTGACGAAGGTGGAGAGGAATGACATTGTGGAGGATCTTCAGTCTTTAATACGTGCGTTTAAATTAATCTGAAAATCCATTATTAGTTCCTTTTTTTTTTGAAGCCCTTATTTTAATGGGACAAGTGCATAATATCGATTTATATATAGCTTAGATTTCTTCAATGGCATGTTCCGTGCTCCTACTTCAGGAAATGATTCAAATGCTTGAAATCCCTCATTGCAAAAAACATTTACATACGTGATTCAGAATGTATTAAGCAATGTTTGCCCAGGTGAAGTAATTATTCATTAATTTAGTTAATGTATTAATAATTCTCAGTCAAGCTGTTGCAACAAAGTTGTGTTTAGAGGAGATTTCAAATAATTCTATCCTCTTTCTATGACATATCTCCCAGTTTACATTATGCAAACTGTATATTTGTGAGTGTGTTAATGTGTTGTTCACACATATCTTACTCTGTATCATCTGTTTTGTACCAGTTGAGGATGTCAGGAGGTATTGTGAGAGACAGAAGAAGAAGGCTGATCCCCCACTTCAGGTTCCTGAGGTGGACAGCTGTGTCCCCCGCACCCCTGAGAGGAATGGCATCACCCTGGAGGATGACCCCGAAGGTCAATATTTGTATAAACTTAAAAATGTTTTTTTTTTTTTTTTTAGAATAAAAGTTGCTGCACATTTGTTCTTCTTGACTTGTTTGTGACTTGTGAGTGTGTGCACAACTTGATTAATTAGAATCACGTTTTTTTAGATTACATTCAGTAGGTTTTGCTATTCTGTATGGATTTCCATGCTACCTCTATTTTTCTCCAGTATGCCACATAAATTTAACAATTTAGCAACTCTAGTATTATAAAAATGATTAACTTGTGACTTTGCACAACTTGAGATATTGATTGTGGCTTTATTTTCTGTGGTAAAGTTTCATACAGGAAACGCTCCAATTTGCCTACTAATCTAAAGTTATCTGAAGCTCTAATCATACATCTGCAGCACTGCACTGTTCCACTTCTGTGCACAGTCTTGTGGCTTCCGTACAATGCCTATGTTTTACTTCTGTGGAATATATTTTGGCCCCTTTTTCTTTTTTTTTTCTTTTTTTTTAAAGTTTTTTAATGTGCACATGTTGTCTTGGGCTGCAAGCTGTTGCGCAATACCGGCCCTGAAGGAATAAACAAAGTTTTGTAACTGAATGTAATCAATCTGAATTAATTTCAGGTACTCCTGAGCTGTTTGATGCCTTCATCTGCTACTGCCAGAGTGACTTCCACTTTGTCCATGAGATGATCCGGGAGCTGGAACAGACAGACTACAAGCTGAAACTGTGTGTGTTCGACAGAGATGTCCTCCCAGGCTCCTGTGTATGGACCATCACTAGTGAACTCATTGAGAAGAGGTGGGATATTGACACATGCTAACCATTTCTAGGTCTATTTTGTTGATTTGGCTTTTTACTTTAATTTGAACTTGGAAAAATTGACTAAAAAAAGCACTGGCATGTGGGGCACAGTCTGGTCCTTAAGCTCCTGTGCTTTGTATTTGTAATTCTGATGCGGCACAGACTCCTGTATGCACAGTTATCAAGAATATATTCAGGCACAGGATGTGTACCAGGCCCGCTGTTTATCAGCTTCAACAAATTATATTCTACTATCTGCTACATTAATAATCTGAGTGGGCAAAAAATAGAAATGGATATTTCAGAGATACAAAAACATGAACGTTTCGGGTATTGTGGGAAGCTGAGTTTGAATAATAACAGTTTAATTTTAAATTTAGATATAGAAAGTCACCTGAGAGAAAGTAATTCAAGTTTCCTGTGAGCTGGCCAATAGGCAACTTGCTGAATATCTCCCTGTTTTCTGGCTCTCACATTTTGTAATGACTGTAATGTATGTGACCATCTGTGCAGGTGTAAGAGGATGGTGGTGGTGATTTCTGATGAATACCTTGACAGCGATGCCTGTGACTTTCAGACCAAGTTTGCTCTCAGCCTCTGTCCTGGTAAGTTACATTTTTGTGATGTTAAACAGCTCAATCTTGATTTTTTTTTTTCTGGCATATGCATAATTAACCTCTTTTCCTTTTGCCATTACAGGAGCCCGAAATAAACGGCTTATCCCGGTGGTGTACAAGTCAATGACAAAGCCATTCCCCAGCATCTTGCGCTTTCTCACCGTATGTGACTACACCAGACCATGCACGCAGGCCTGGTTCTGGATACGGCTGGCCAAAGCTCTTTCACTGCCATAATTATGGACCAGGCGGTTAACTGTGTTTAAAATGTTGGACAGTGGTCAAACATTACAGGTTCAAGTGTGTGCTGTTGCTTTCGATGCACATCCTGCTGGCATCTAAACCCACCTGTGACTTCCTGTGTGTATATGGTATATATTGCAATGCTACTATTTGTGCTTCTTTTGAAGATGACACAGTGATTTCTGAACATTATGATTATGAAACTCAATGTAAAGTTCTCAGAAAGCACACAGCCATTATTATGTTGTTAAAATTTCAAGAATAACAGAGGTTGTGCCCGCCTGTCACTATTCTGTATTTATGTGAGTAATAATGTCAAAGATGACCTGTTTCTATTTAGGGCAGCATGTACTAAATGCTCTGTAAAAGCTGTCTTCTTTTGCACTGGCCACTTCCTCTTATGAGTAAACTTCTAGATGAGATTGAAGCCTAAAGAGGAAGACATATTGTGATTGTGATACTTCCCCATATTCACTTTTATCGTCTGCTAACATCTGCTGTTCTCTCTCACTTTGTCTGTCACCATGATGTCTTTACATTTGATTTTGTATTTTTGATAGTCTTTTTGGTGACAGTTTTATGAAAACATGAATTTATTGTAGGCTACTTTTAATAAATGGTCTAAATATTGTTATATCAAAAATAAATGTGATACACATTAAATTTTCAGTTTCAATTATTTAAAAGCATATGTGCAGTCATAAAAGCGTGGTGTGCTGTGGTCCTCCAGTATGCGTCGTGATTGTGCAACTCTTGCATGTAATAAAATACACCACCAGAGGTGTCGCTAATTGAATGCTGTTATGAGGAAGCAGGGCGAAATACATTTTACAGTTAACGCATGAACATCCAATCACAGAGCAATGTACGTGGTAATATCCAATCAGAGGACAGGATGTTCCTGGCCCGCCTCTTTTCACACGCTCTTATACTGGAGTATTATCTGCCCTGATTTTGGCCTGTCAGGTGCCACTTTCTAGCCACACAAATACCTACATGTGATCTAGAAATCTAATTGTTCCTAATGGGCAAGAACTTTAAGTGCAGTGGGTCAATGTGAGCAAAATAAGATGTGATTTGTTCGCTGTATGAGGAAAAAAAATAATGCCTGCAATGCCGAACTCAGGGCACAAACATATCCTCAAACCCACAGCCCACCATTAAAAGTGTGGCGGAACCCCACGAATTGAATGGATTTGTTTTTGGGCACGTTTTATTTAATTTAAACACTCTTTGTGGTGGCTTGTGTTTGCCTAGAAAATAAAATTCAGCGGCATAACTACGTTTAAAAGTCTTAACATATGCATTTAAAGTTTTAAACAGTAAGGCTTCTGTCTCCATGTTTGACAATACCTCTGTAGATCTTCGTTAGCCGCCAACTTGTGTCTATAATCATTTCCTCCACTGACTTCAGTGGATTCCGGAGCTCATTCGGTGCAACGTCCCACACTCAATATGTCCGACGGGAAGGTCCACATTTGCTCAGTAGGAATGCGGTAGGCGGGGCTGCTAGGCTAGTGTCAAACTTTGGGAATGACAGGAGTGCTGCAGGATTCGCAAAGAAGGGGAAGTGTCGCCCTTGTTGGTCCTGTTTGGATTACTTTGACTTGTTTTTACGCACAGTCTTTGGATTCACCACCTTTCTACACATAGTACGGCCTCAGCAGATTCCTCAGCCATGTCGGAGGACCTGAGCTCCCAACCCTGGTCCATCAACAAAGATGATTATGAGCTACACGAGGTGATTGGTATGTAATCATTAGCCTGTTAGCTTAACGTATGTGTTAACCGACAGTTTATGAATTTCTGCCGTTAGCTCACTTAAAAGGGGGCTTACCACAGTTAACGTAAGCCTTAATATTTTCAAACGAGCAGAAGGCATCTTCTTTCTCTTCAGCTAGGCTGAGTTCATCGCGTTTGGCAACTTGGAAATCCTACCCGGGCGGTGTTGTGACTTGGAGTCAGTGGAATGTTTCCAGTGCGAGCGGTTACTCCGTCCACTCGGGCTATGCCGAAGTAGTAAACGAGCGTCATAACGTTACTGTCTATTCAGGCTCTGACTATTTGCTGGAAAAGAACCGTTTTCATTCAGCAGTTCGTTCGTGTGAATAGCTAGCTCTATACTTTCTTAAATGTGCTCTAGCCAGAGGGCGTCGTATATATGAGATTCCAAGTGTATTTACTGTATCATATTTAAATTTGCCAGTGCCAGTAGTGCAGACAGAACATAAATAGAGTAGTGTTTAAACAGAAGTGACACCACAAATTACATATTCTCAAAGTTATCATCTAATTGTGGGGAAGACTGCATTGTTAAGGCTAAAGCAATGTATCTGTAGCAAGACAGAGACTTATACTGTGTGTGCGTTCACGCCCATTTCCAATTAAAATACACTGGCTATCCTAACGCAGGACTTTTCTTTCCAAAACATTAGTGTTACCAATACAGAGCACAGAGATTATACTTCATGGTCCTTCCCAGAGAAGGGTATTGTTTTGGGCAATTTACTGCCTGAATTAATCCAGTTATGCATAAGCTCTTTGGAGATTAATCAGTATTATGGGGCTTCTAACATCCCTCACAAAAAATGTTATTTAAGAATTTACTGGGTAACATCATCAATACTGTTTTGTTTAACCTAGTCCGGGATTGAACCTGTAAGCATGTTAATTGTTAGTCTAAATTTCATTTAAATCTCAGTGATCGCTTTGAATGTATCTCAGATATCCTCGCCTTTCCGTGTGACGGGAGGCATTCTGCACCTCTCCTGTGCAGTGTCAAGCCTTGGTGAGTCCTGAGGATGGCTTACAGGTTGGCTGGCCTGAGGAATGACAGCTTTTACTTGTGAAGTTCTGAAAAGTCCCACCCCACAAATAATCGCCCTACCTTTGGCTAACTTTGTTGAGATGGGTGAAGGAGAATAAGAAGGAGTGTGTAACATATAAGCAAAGTATTGTCCTCTCAAATCAGTTAGTTTGTGCCTCTGGTTTACTTTACCCAAGTGGTGCGTGCTTCCTCTACAGGGAATCCGTGTTTATAGAGGGTCCATTCTGCAGGCTCTAAATTAACCTTTTTGTATATTCTTAAAAGACTTGAATTTAACTTTAACCCATTTCTACATTTCCTCTTGGTTTCTTGGAAAATTTGAACTGGGGCACCCCACAAGATAACGCCCTGTAATTTAGCATGCACACAGAGATAAAGCCCCTCTTGTATAGAAACCAGTTCTGTGGCATTTTCTTATGCAGTGTGTGACACAAATTGTCAACATAGGTTTGAAACTGGTAAGGCTATTTCAAGGCTGGACTGCTGCATGCTTACTTGGGGTTAGGGGAGGGGATCATGATTATCATCTTAGCTTCGGAAATGAATTGTGCAGTTAGCCTAGTTTCTTCCCCTCATTTTATAAATTACTTAAAGCTGATTACATGTTTCTTACATTTGTCGGAGCTGATCTACTTTACAGATCATTTAAATTAGCAGAACCCTATGTTTGCGGCTCTGTCCCAAGAGTCCTCATGAACAAAGGTTTAACGAGAAAACTCCTCCTGTTTGGCATCTGTTTCTGTTCATATTAAACCTTGCCATGGAGTCCTGTGGAGCTTTCTCTCTCCTCCTGCCCTCTCAGGCAGGCTTTGCTTTATTACCATATACCAACACTTCAAAAGTTTAACTAAACTAAAGTCTGACTTGCTGCGATTTCATCTTTCAGGCCTTTTACTTTAAATGAATGAACACTGACGACCTGTTGTACTCATCATTTCGACTGGTCATCGCTCCTTGAATTGAAATCGCTTCTCTGACATGGTTATGGTCTTGACATTTGCCTGCCGGGATTCCTTTAACATATTGCCCACTTGTAAAACTTAACAGGGAATTTAACTTTCTCTGGAAAAGCCTATAAGATTTGGATTTGACCTTAAATGACCAAAGAAATTGCCTGAGCTTTAAAGCCAGTAGTGTGTATTCATAGGCAGATTGCATACCGTATGCTTAAAGTTGCACAATCGGTCAGGGTGGGCTGGTGTGGTGTTTTGTGTTTATTTGGGGAGACGGGTGGGTAAACACAAATGCATTATTGAGTACTGCAAATGACCCTGTTATTACAGGCTACTGTTTTTATTAGACGGTAAATATAAATAGGCATTTTAATTTAGATCTTTTTCTGATTGCAGCAGCAGGTAAAATGTGTTGAGTGTTGTGTCTCTCCATTATGACTTGCAGTTTTACTGATGTTTTAAGTGCTTATGGCAGAAGAGTGGATTTTATTAAATCAGTAATTTTCTAAACAATAAGTTAATACCCCACTACTACATACAGTCCAGCACATGCACCTGGAAGACCTAAAAGCAATGAGATGTTTTTCTTTTCCCAGAGCAAACTCAATGCAAGAAATCCACATATAAAATCTATGGGCTTGCAACTAATTAATATTTTCATTATTGAATACCCCACTAATTATTAGATTGATTAATCACTTGTTCTATAAAATGTCAGGAACAGGTGAAAAATACCCATAACAGAGGAATAAAGTTCAGCTAACCTCCAAGATAATGTCATCAAATTGCTTATTTTATCCAACCAACACCTCAGAACTTAAAGATATTCAGTGAACAGTAACATAGGACAAAGAGAAGCAGAAAAATCCTCACACCTGTGAAGCTGAACAGAAAATATTCATCATTCTTGCTTTCAAAAAGTCACCTTAACTATTAAATGCTTGTCAAAATAGTTCCTGATTATTTTTTCTGTTGATCAGCTCATCGTTGGACCGACTTATTGTTTCAGCTCCACTTGAATATGCAGCACTCAAAAACCTCAGCAGGCGGCCTAGCTTAATCAAGCTAAATGAAAGCTGCACATGAGAACAGGAGCAAGCTGCGCTCCCAGACCTAAACCCACCTCTGCTCCCCGCCCTTCACTGAAACTGTTGGGGAGATACTGTATAAGCTGTTTGATTCCAGCGATGCTGCCCACAGCTCTCCTGCTCAGCTGGAAGCTTGCTGTTCTGAGGATGGCCCTGCATACCCAGCAGAGCTATTGTTTTGGTAACTTACCCAGGGAAAGAGGACTTGTTATTACATGGTTCACACCTACTCTTTTCATCCCAGTGAGCATTGGATCGTACTGGACAGAGCCCATGAAAGAAAAAAGTACTGCGCTCTCTCTGATTTTGGATCAGACCTTGGATCATTCATGTTGGCAAATCTGGACTGGAAACTTTCTGCTCCCACTGTTTGTATCCACCGGCAACCGTGTTTCCTCCCTGTTGCTTGTGCTGTCCCTCAGATGATTTTTAGAAAACGTCAGTATGATCATTGTCTAGGAAACATACCACAACTTCAGGCTAACATTTCTCTCATTTAATGTCAACTTAAAGATTTAGGCCACATTCATTTTTAGAGTATTACATCCTAGGAAATCGAGGGGATGGGTGGGTGGGGGATAGACACTAAAAGGCATTTGCTGGTGGTGCGATTGCTAGTCATGTGTGACATTTCTCATTGTATCTTTGAATAATGTGTGGAATGTCAGCCAGGTATGCAGAGGAAATGTAATAAAAGACGAGTGACGTCAGGCAGCAGACTGGCCTGGTGAGGGCAGGAAAGACAAACTGAGAGCTGCTGCAAAAGTGCTGGTCACAGCTCATGAAGGAGGACATTGACACAGGCCTAACAGAGTGACCTCCTCCATTAAGAAGTTCATTCAAGGCCAAGCTAATCTGATAAGATATTATTGTACACTATGTACCTTTTTGCGTTAAAAAAAAAAAAAAAAAAAAGAACTTGAACAGTGAATGTTCTGTCTTGACCTTACCTGGCCCATTCTTGCCAAATATATTCACCTTCTCATCGGGCAAATGTTGGCCCGTGATGTGAGGTATCATTTTATTTGGAGTCCACATCTCATGATCTCTTTAATGAAACCTTGAGATTTAAATGGCCTCCTGGTGTTTTCATGGTCTTTGAACCGCTTTAATAATTTTAATTAAGTGTAATACAGTAGCTTTGGCTGTACTCTTGGTAGGCCTGTTATTCTCTTTACTATTCCTTTGTGTTTTGCATGTCATGCATATTTAATGGACTTCACAGAGATGCGGCAGAACAGGAGGCATGCAAACATTCCATACTCAAATGTCAATTCCCCAAAGAGCAACAATGTTAGTTTACATTGTTAGCTTACATGCTAATGGCATGCCCTCGCTATTGTATAGAAGCTTACACATTTAAGTCGATTACGAAGAGAAAGCTCTAGTCTTTGCATGTCCCGTTCACACATTGCCCGGGTACAGTATAATGCTCCTGAGGTTTCTCATGCCAGGCTTGGCTTGTTTGGGGGAAACATGCTTACAGGAAACATTGGCAGCCTTTTCAAAGATCATAAATGTTTTGTCAATGTCCCCCCCCCCCCACACACACACACACACACAGACACACAGAAGTGATCAAGTTGTTTCACGCCATCTGCAACTTTTTTTCCGCTATCATAGAATAGAGCTTGTTATTGTTGCACACACAGTGCAGTAAGAGTAAATGTCAGGAAGGATGATGCGTTTAAATTAAGTCACATTTAAACACAAATTACTGAGTGAAACTTAAACTTATGACTGAATACAGGATCAGATGAATCCGGACAGTGAATAGACGCCAAAGATCAATAGTAGCTCTTGACTAATTGCTGGGATAACTATAGATCTTAATTACTGGAAACATAAAACGATCATCAGCAGTATATCTGCTGAGATAATGTTTCCTTTCATTGGACTGTTTGGCTTCAGCTCTGACACAAGAAGAGAAAATAGAGACGCTGCCTAAATTGCATTTGTAGTGATATTTTTCGTTTTCCTGTTTGTTTTTGTTTTTTTTGTTTATTTTATGAAAAATGAAATGGAAATAAAAGGCTGTAAAAGAAATCAAATATGGAAATGAATGTAAATCAACAAACCAAAAAAGTTTACATAACTTGGTAACCCTCAGCCATGTCAACATGCCACATTTTCAGCTGTCAGCTGGATCATCTTCATTTGATTTTGCCTAATGTGGTAACTTAATATATAGATTTGATTTAGCCATCCACTTCCAAAACAAGCCAAATGTTGTTGTGCCTCTGGAAATAGCAAATATTAGCAGAACTTTGAAGTATTTTTTTTTTATTTGTACAGGTTGACAGTAGATGTGGTTGACTTCTTCCCCTTATTAATTAATTTACAAAAAAAATAAAATAAAATAAAATAAAAAAGATCCCACACCTTTTGCTTGATATGCAGCCAATGCCTGTGCCAGGCTGTTTAGCAGATTAAATGTTGGCCTGGGTTTTTGGCTCTTTCGTGTGTTTCCTCTCATCCTGATGGAGAGGGTGGCATTGATGTTATCTGCGTGAATGACCGAGATGTGACAGAGTGTAGCTTATTTTATAAATCAGACATTTTTTCTAACTTGCGCCTGTTAATGTTTAATGCCTTCAAGTAAACACCTACAGCCTGGCGATCGCCGGCACTGCGGTTGGCGAATATGATGACAGGAACGCTCTGCCTTCCCCCCGTGTGCATCATTGTATACTGTTCATCATATAAATACTACTTTGATAAGAACCTCAAACCACCCTGAAGTATGATTATCATGTGACTTGATAGAAATAGTAGAAACATCTCTTCTTTGTTATTTGCTACTTCCAACCTCAGCACAAGGTTATTCTGCTCATCAGCTCTATATTAACTCAAAGTCCCAGCTGGCTGGTAGATTCGGCTTCTAAAGGTCTAAGAGGCTCCGTGCCCCTTGACCTTGCCTGCTGCAAACCCAACAATGTCCCCCTTTTTCATCTTCTCCCCACACACACACACACACATAGAAGAACACATGCTCCCCAGCTTGTCTGGCCACCCCTGACGACTGGCTGTTTGTTTGTGTGGAGGAATTTACACTCCACTGTGTACAGGGCAACTGGCTCCCTGTCGTCCTCCCCGGGCTGAGCTCCCCCATCACTGGCGAGCCTCCAGAGGTTTGTTTGGTATTGGTGGTGGTGGTGGTGGTGGTGGTTGTTGTTGTGAGAGGGGGCTGGAGGATATATTTACAAATCTGTTCAGCCTCTCAGTTTTGAGCAATAGTGGAGTGATCCAGGATTATTTGGATGCTGGAGAGATGAGAAAGGCCTAACACGCAATATCAGCGGTTTCAGTCAATACACAGCACCCACTACGGCTGTAGGAAGTAGGCCTTCACATATAGGATGAGTCGGTGACCCTGACCATCTGTCAATTGCAAAAAAATTACAAGGAAATTGCAATTTTATTGGATTATTTTAGAGAGCAAGAGTTTCTGGTTAATCTCAGTCTCAGCTGTATTGAATAAGTTTGTGCTGTTATATTCTCTGCTTCTCTCATTTAAGCCTGAGGTGATAATTATCTTGAATGAAAACAGTTCAATAAAAACCAGTCACATCTTCAGGGACAGCTTTACTTTTTAATTAAAGTCAGGGAACTGTTTTTTTTTTTTTTCATCAATACAGCCCCCCCCCCCCCCCCCCTTTTTTTTTTTTTAAACCTCCATACACTGCTGGCTCAATGAAAACTCCAAACAATGAGCACTTTGTTAATATTTGGGCATAGCGAAGATGAGGGCATGGGAGGTTAGGAAAAGCTTACTGGAGGGTGGACCGATTCACCGCTCACTCTTTCTCTCACTAAAGCCTGTTGCCAGAGGAGACTGTGCTCCCAGCATTGCTCAGCGTCACGTATACACCAGAGATCTTGTGGAAACAGCCGTGTGCGTGTGTGTGTGTGTGTGTGTCTGCGCATGGTGTTTAATAAGAGGCATTGAGGGGGCAGTGAAATGACCTCACACGATGCAGGAACAACAGGCGTACCTCTCCAGGGGGAGGATTTTTACAAGGTTTTACTCAGGCTATCACATGTTATTCAAAATAAAGATTAGCCCAATGTGCGATTGAAGCTTTAACCAGATCGTGATCTGTGTTTTGTTTGCAAGTACATGAAAATATTAGTTGTGGTGGCATAAACTAGCATAGACCTGCAACTGTTGCAATGATCCAGCTGATCCAACTGAACATTGTTCAGTTCTGATGCATACTACAAAAGCGCACATATTATAAATTGTAGGCTCCAATTTTTATTTTCATCCTTTAATTTTCTTTTGTATAATCCTTAATTTTCTCACTAGTCTTTTAGCACAATTTAAGGGCCACGACATGTTGCATTTCTCTGCATATATTACTTATATATCTGACAAAAAAAAACTTCTGAATTCTTGAATCCTCTTACTTTAAGAGCTACTGACATGTTCTGGATTTTGCCAGGATTCAATGACCAGTGAACAAAATCATAAAATCGTGCCAAGAATATAAGATACTAACTTTCTAAACTATGTAAGGACCAAAGTGTTGGGGCACCATTGTAGGATCATCGCCATGTAGATATGCTTGGTTTAGCAGAGTCACTGGCCCCTGTCAGACCTGCTCCATCAGGCGGGATTTGGGAAAGCTGATTCATAATTGATGAATAGACAGATAAGCTGTACCAAAGAGAAATCGGATGAACTGTAGAAGCAAAAACTCTGTTTAACCTTCTTGAACTCGGCAGGATTTTGAGGTAATGGATAAAAGTTAGGTTTATTATCCCACGAAGACAGGAGGTGAGGGAAGGGACATACAACTGAAAGAAGCCCAGGCAGCCCTGGGAATATAGCCTGAAAAGATTGTGCTCAGTGTGCCAAAGTTGGGTTCTACAAGAGCACGGGCAGTTTTATATTTCCTGAGATGACTGATATTATTATATTGAATCATAATCAGGGTGATGATATGTTGTTTTTCTGTGTGTTCCAGGGAGTGGAGCCACAGCGGTGGTCCAGGCAGCCTACTGTATACCACGCAAGGAGAAAGTGGCCATCAAACGCATCAACCTAGAGAAGTGCCAGACCAGTATGGACGAACTCCTGGTAAGACACACAACACTGCAAAGTAATTGCATATTAGACTTGAGTATTTATGTGACCTTGTTACTTCTCATGTTTGATCAAAGGGAGCTGCTGGCTTACAACACGAGATTTCATTTAGGGCTTTGTCTCCGCGGTCTGCGTGTGTGTGGATGGAGTCAGTTCCACCTCTGCTTTTCATTACCGGTTTTCTCCGAGCCCTCCTCCAATCACCCCTGTCACTTCAAACACTATTCTGGTTGTTCTCTGAAGGAGGACTTCGCTCACTGCCAGGAAACTATTAGACCACCGTGGGACATCTTCCTCAGGGCTGTGTTGTGCGTCCTTTATACCCTCAATGCAATCTCGCACCGCAGAACGACTCATCATTTACTGTTTGACGTGGTTTACGATTTAGCTTGAGAGGTGGAAGGATTATATCAAGCTCCCCTGCACGTAGAGATGATCAAGTGGTCGTTTTGTTCCTCGTGGTCTGGCTTTCTCGCAAGTAATGTATCTGTCAAAGTCGAAACCATCTTTTTTTTTTTTTTTTTTTTAAGGCAAGGCCAGATTATTTATATGGCACCATTCAGACACAACACAATTCAAAGTGCTTAACACGAGCCTGGAAATACATTAAATATAGGCACTTATAGGACAGTTTAATTAGTTTTATTGTTACAAATGGGGAAAGGTGTCTCACTACTTGGCTTGGGCAAAAGTTGTGTTTTAGCTGTAAGTTAGCCTTTTGTTACCCAGAGCAACCAGATCTAAGGATTCGGTCTGACACCAGGAAGTGACCTTTTATCAACTTAACAAAAGCATGATTGATGGATTTTTCCAGTCCTCTCCCGTAGTTATCATCCTAAGCAACCTATGGGGAAATAAATATTGTGTAAGCCTATACGTGTGCATGGAAGATCATGACTAGAGAGCACCGGCAGGTTTCTCTCTACTCACTCGAAATACTAAACCGAGGAGGAGCCCCTCACCACGATTTTTGGAGGATGAATCAGGGGAATGTTGCTCCCGGATTCTCGGAGCAGGCGGTCACATGGAATACAGCGAGGTCGGATTTCCTGCCTGTGGCCCCCCCCACCCCCCACACCCCCACACCCTCCCCTCAAACCAATTCCACAGCCTGCTGGGTACCCGGTTAAACGGCTAGGAAGCATTAAATTGAACCCAGATTGCCTCTCTAAAGAAGCAGCTTTGAAAAGAGGATGCCGCAAGTTTTAAAGAAGCCTGCAGGTCTTTAACCTCGCCGAACCCTTACCTGTGAAATTCAGAAAAGCAATTATGTCATGTGTCCGGGTCTCCATATGTAGAGGTATGTTGTAGTTATTTCTGGCACAGCAGTTTGACGGACGGGCGCTTTTGAGTGACTCAAACTAGATCAGATGAGGAGGAGGTTTGTTTACAATTTAAATGCGGTGTAGTTATCCTCTCGCATAATTACACAAGTTTTCCAGCTATTGATTTTAATTGTTTATTAAAACCTGTCAGAAGAAGATCAGTGCTGTTGAAATGTTCTCATATTGTAATGTCCGGTTTACTACACAGTGTGACTTCATTCTTGGCTTTAAAATACCTGGAGATACAGATATTGAGGGTGAGAGGAAAGATGAAAATGCTATTTTTCTGGCACAGGACGTCTGAAATGAGCTAAAAAAAAAAGTGAGTCAGAGGTGTATTAGTGTCCTCAGCATCAACATCACCTTCTATTAAGTTTTCCGGTCAACTGGGGATCAGCAGCCTCTCTGTTCCTCAGTAGTTTTGCGCGCGCGTGTGTGTGTGTGTGTGTGTGTGTGTGTGTGTGTATGTGTGCGCACGCTGCAGTGAGATTGGGTCATAGTGAGTGAGTGTGTGTGTGTGTGCGTGTGTGTGTATGTGTGTGTATGTGTGCGCACGCTGCAGTGAGATTGGGTCATAGTGAGTGAGTGTGTGTGTGTGTGTGTGTGTGTGTGTGTGTGTGTGTGTGTGTGTGTGTGTGTGTGTGTGTGTGTGTGTGTGTGTGTGAGCCTCTGAGTAACTGATAGTGACGTAACATTGCTCCTATAGTGGCTTCTCTGTGTGTCTGCCATCAGTGTGATTCTGTGGCACCAGTTTGTGACCCAGCACTGTATTCAGTTCGTGACAATAGGTCATTTATTTAATTTTTTTTTTTTTTTTTTTTGCTCAGTTTCAAGGTCGTCAGCCACGACAAACACTCAAAAGATCAGGCCTAATATAGAAAAACACAATTGGTGTGGACTGGTCTATTTCCTGGAGAACCTGTATAATTTGCAGGCCAAACCAACGCTAAGGGTTCAGTGTTCAGCTTGGATTCTGCATGAGATCACTGTAAATTTAGAGACCCATAACGAGGCAGAATAGGTTAGTTTCAGTTATTTTTGTAAAAATTAGCTTTTTTTTTTTTTTTTCCTGTAAAAAATGGAATTTGAGTTGTCATGTTTGGGAGATATCAGTCAAAGATTACAGACTTCATAAACCAGCGTGATTTCCATTAAGGAGAGAAAAACTGTTTTATTCCATGGGTGGAACGAGGGGATGGAGGGGTGGTCTGATGTTGTTATTTATTTGGATTTTTGGCCGGCTGACTGCCTGCTGGTCCTCCAAAGAAAACACGGAGTTAAGCCATACTCTTACTCCATGGAAGTTAACTTCTCATGTCAAAGGCTTTGACATAAGAAGTCGGCATGTATTGTTAAACAGCTGTATGTATATCGTGACTTGAACATTAAGAGTATAGGGGGAGAAAAAGAATTTCATCGTGACTTCAAAGATATTTCTTGGCAGTTTATCATTATTAAGCTAGTTTGTTGTTAAATTGATTCAATTAAATGATGAAAATCCCCTCTAATAGATGGTTTACAGCTAACTGGGGCAAAAGCAGTGGGTAAGGAGAAATATACTATGCTAACAGAATGCAGCATGCAGTAACACAGATGGTCATTATTACCATTCATTTGACAAGAATGCCCTACACAGGTTTTCATATGTGCTTCAATGACTTGTTTATTAAATCCAAAAAATGTGATCATGGGATAGTGAAATCTTTTGTGTTGCAGGTGGCTTTGTGTGGGGGGGGGCAGGGAGGTGGTTTTCAGGTCGGATGCATTGAATAAAACAGCTCTGAATGCCCATGTCTTCGGATGAGGTCATTGCGGTAAACCACAATCAAACACAAAGGCCAAAAAAACCAAATAGCGCTGGGAGACATATTTGCCTGTTTTTGTTAATACTTGTGGTTTAAGCTGAAAGACTTAAGCAAACAGTTTTTTTTTAATCACCAAACATTTGATGTCGACAGCTTCAAAGCTTGTTTTTACGTATAAATGAAACACCTTCGGTTTCTTTGCCTTTTTGTCAGACTTAATAAGCAGATCCAACGCATCAATTAGGACCCTGTCAATGTGTAAGTGGCACTTGTTATTACATTTTGCAGTAACATATAAATACTTTTGTCACTGTCTAGGCTTATCCAATTTTTAAGCTTCAAGTGCTGATAAAACTATGAGGAATTTTCACAGAAGAGAATCAGCTATAAGAAATAAAAAAAAAAAAAAGTGAGTCCTTGATTGAAGTGTTTTCATTAGTAGTTTCATGGACTAGTTGGGTGAGTTGTATCTCTTGATAAAGATCACCGTACAGTACAACTGATGTCAAGATTGAGGAAGTATTTCACCCATCTGTTTCACATGACTGAGTCGGTAGCCAATGTAAAATTTATAGGCAAACGAAGCTGGAGTTCATGCAGGAGAAGTTACATAACCTGCCATGCATGATGCGCCCTTACAGGAATGAGTCTTACACCGAGGCTATACAGCAAGTGCCTGCCCCATCACGCAGACGTGACGTCCATAAAATCATTTTTGTTTTCCACTCATCATCGAGATGTACCAAAAAATATTTTCGCAGAGCAAACTGTCATCAAAGCTAAACGGATAGAAGCAGTACGTGTGGTTTTTAAGCACTGAGAACATTTCCAGTGTCTTTGCTGCAACATTTACAGTGACCTAATCCCCGCAACAAAGAGTCTCTCTGATTCTCACATTGTCTGCTGGAAAAAGATGGGAAAACCTGCCAACTGCCAGAGCGCGATATCCTCCCAGTTATCCCATTGTTTTTCTTTTCTGGGGTTACCCTGGCCCACAGAGCGGTGGTGACCTGCCTCTTACACTGTGCTGAGAACAGAGGCGGGGGTTAGGCTCCACTGAAGCCTGTTAGCAGCAAACAGGCTATATCATTATTGTTCCCTCTCAGTCTGTAGTATCCACACAAAGAATGATAGGGGAGACGACACGCAGCGCTCGCCGTCTGGCCCCGACAGAGTGGAAGTTATTAGACTGCTTGATAATCAAAAACGGCTTTAGTTTAGAAGCGGGGTGGTATGTGGTTCTCACCTGTTGGTCTGTTGCCGGTCAGTCTGGGCACGGTGCAACTGTTTGGTCTGAAAATTTCTCACACTTTCTCAGACAGATTTGAGTTCGTTTGAACACGTCTGTACCCATCATGGTCTAATGAATTTTTTTTTGTCATGCACAGCCTGTATCCACCCTATTATGACTCAGTTCGTGTTTTTAAACCTCTTTTCTCAAGTGCTTTCTAATGGCATCATGATGTCACTTGCCCGTCCTAGCCTTTCTTGGCTGAGGCACTCACTGACGGCCCCGCGCTCAATAGTGATGACTCCGCAGCTGAAGCACACTGCTGCTAATGCACTTTGTGTAAGCTAAGCATTTATGCTGATGGGACATCAGGCTTTGGTTGCTTACTCTTTGACCCGCAAGCATGTATCGATCGATGTCTTTAATCTTGAATTGATGTTTTCCGCTCTAGTGTTAAGGTTTCTCGGTTGACAGGCTTGTGGCGCACCTGTCGTGGCGCAAATCTGTATTAAATAACACTCCTGAAACCCACAATCGGATGAGAGGGTTGATATTTCAACTCTGTGTAACTAGCACAAAGACTGAAAAATGGGGAAATGCTCCCCTAATATTCACATTTAACAAATTGGAAACAGATTTTTTGCTGAAAGAATTAGTTAAATGCTTTAATGTTTATGAAAGTTGTTGCTGATTAATTTCCCTTTGACTGACTGATCACATCAGCTCTGGATTTGTAAAAAGAATTGTGATTTTAATTATAAATGATAGTGTGTTGTATTTTTTATTTTTTATACTTTTTTTGACAATAGCAAGGAAATTCACACTTACACTTGTTATATATATTATTAACAATCTAAACTGATATTTGAAATATTATTTTTAGACATCCTTGAATAGTTCAGCACTGTTTGTATTACTATCTGAATACACTCATCTCATTGCAGTCTCATTTCCATTTTTCAGCTATATGGGGAATTTTCACAGCAGGCACAGAGATGCTTTGCATTATTATGGAGCCCCAGTAACAGGTTCAGTCATTTGTCAAGTATTCGGGTGCAGAGACAAAAGCAAAGCCCCTGTGAATCAGTGGTCCCAACTCCGAAGTCAGCTAGATTTTCTTTTTCTTAGGAAGCTTGTCTATCCTTAAATGACTTTGGGACTGGTGTTGAAGTGATGGATTAGACTTCTGTGCCAGCATTACCTCAGCTCTGCCGCTTTCCAAGCGCACACACGTACACACACACACACACACACACACACACACACACACACACACACACAAACACACAAACAGAAAGAGACCTTTACAGCTGTATAAAGGGCTGAGTACCGGCTGTTTTTCGCTTCTGCATAGATATGCATTATATTGACCTAGTCTTTTTCCCATCTGACTTCTGACGTCATTAAGATCTTAAGTATCTCACTAAATTTCAAGAATAGCTGCAGCATCAAAGGCATAGGCATTTATTGTGACTGCATTCACCTTTTTTCCTCCAGGCTTTTCTCATACCTTATGGTGGGAGGCTAATGGGAACAGCTTCCTAGTAGGCATTATTTGTGTTGGATGAAAATCTATGGAAAGTGTATATTGTGTTTTGTTAACAGCTCTAAATACGGTCGTTTGTGCTGCTTCAGAAGCTAATGGGTAATGAATGTGATTAATGAAAATGCATTGGCTCTGCTACAAAATTTCAACCCACATCCACCAAATTAGAAGTGTTAACAGATTACACCTGCTTTTATCAGGTCAGTGGCAAATACAGCAGGTCTGTCATTAGACATCAAAATCATTTGTACCTTTCTGATTAATCGGATTTTCTTCTGTCTCTGTCATGCATTTTCCTCTAACAGAAAGAGATTCAGGCCATGAGCCAGTGCCACCACCCCAACATCGTGTCTTACTACACCTCGTTTGTGGTAAAGGATGAGCTGTGGCTGGTCATGAAGCTGCTCAGTGGCGGTAAGTGCATACCGTATATCTTTTAAAGGCTTTCCTGCTCCTCTTAATACACTGCTCTCAATTTCTACCTGTCAATCTGAATGTGACAGACAAGTAAAAAAAAAAAAAATCTCATCATTTGCCATTGAAGAAAACATTACTGTCAGAAGAGAGGACCCAGAGGATGATTTGGTTCGGAGTGAGTATCTTTCTGGCCTTAAGTCATATTATGAGGGTCCAGGATTTTTTGGCAGGGCCCCTCGTAATGAGAGAGGGGCAGGAGGAAGAGCTGGGCTACTTGCTGTCGATGATGTTAACTGTGATTGTAGGGAATGTGACAGCACTGATCCTCACTGTGTCCTGTGTGAGCTGCAGCTCTTTCCGGGCTTTAACTCAGTACAGTACAGGAGCTAATGACAGGGCAGAGGTAATAACAGCCCGCAGGCTGGCGTCATGGCATCCATGTGGCAGCGCTGCAATTAAATAGTGAGAGGAGCATGAAGAGGAGGCCACCATGGAGAAAAAGACTGCAAAACAATTGCATCTGCTTCTAATTGTATTGTTCTTTTTATCACCGGCAACATATTCAAATACTTTATTAAGCTATAGTAAATGATATTTGTAGCTCTGGATCTAAATGTTAGTGAGAAGGGCTTGTGAGGGCTCTGAGACACAAACACCATGTAGATGAAGGCGTCTTTTGCCAAACATTTAACAAGCGAGAAGCAGTGAGCTTCTCTCACTCAGAGGTGAAGAAAGCCCGATGAGAGCAATGGTGATGTGTTTACAAAGAGGCAAAAAATTGCCACCCGTCTCGTATCCGTACTGCTTTAAGTCTCACTCACTTAATTTTACCAGCACACGTTTACACAGATACATTCACGCACCAAACATTTACACTCTGTTTTTACCTCCCCCATGTTCGTCTCAGGCTCCCTGTGTAAACAGCGTCCCACTGTAACGGATAGAGCCCAGGTGGCATGCCTGGCTCCCACAGATACACTGGAGTCATGAGCTGCTTGGCAGCCGCCTTGCAGCTGGGCCCAGGGCACAGTGCCCGCCAAGCGACGCTTGAACAGGCGGCCAGCCTCACAGCAGGAGCAGACACCACTTAAGATGGCCTCTCTCATTCCCCTTATCCTAGTTAAACAGAGGCCCTTGATGTTGAGTTTTATTGTACGAAGTAATTAAATGATGGCCATGGTGACGTCTGCCATGGAGACAGACCTCAAATGAGGTCAGGTTTATAGACCATCACTCCACAGGGCAGAGTATACCAGCTCTTAGGAAGGCCAGCTCCTGTCTGCTCCTCTGGCTTTATGGAGCGTAAGAAACCCTCCACACTCTGACTCATTCCTGTTTGTGTGTTCTGCTTTTCAAAGGCCGATAATGTGAAAAAGGCCAGGCATGTTTTTGAATTGATATATGAGAATAGTAGGGCTGCACAATTAATCCAAATATGATTGAAATCGCAATATGGCTCAAGTGCAATATCCAAATTTGTTTTGATAAAGGTAAAATGTGTCACAACATTGTTGTGCATTGTTAGCACCATAAGCATTGTTGTGCTACCGAGTCGCCCCGGCCTACAAAACATATTCTCCAGACGTACCAAAACATGTAAACATGTTTGTTTGGTGCAAGACCCAAAAATCCCATCATCATCATTACATTTTCTTTTTCAGTGAAACTGAAATGCAAAAACGACCGTTCCAACTGAAAAATGCCAAAATAATTGCAATATGATTTCTTTTGCAGATCATGCAGCCCTATAGTATAGGCCTATTATTAGTTATTATTGGTCGTTTTTCCTTGTAAAGTTCCTACTGATGAAGCAGTACATTCCTACAGGTCTCATTCCTAATGGAGAAGTATGTTGTTAGACTACATTACTACACAATATCATGTTTGTTTAGCAGTATTTTCACATTTGCTCCAGATGCACTTGACAAACACCACGGTTACTACAGTAAAGGGAGTTTAGTCTTTTGCAGAATAACTGCTAAATGATCTGAAGACGTTTCCAAAGGTAGCTTTTGAACAATCAGTCGGTACTCTCCCGTTTTTGTTGCATATGCCAATTCTTAGTTGTATGTCACGGTTGACTATTGGTATGCCTCTGCTGCTCTTCTGGCTTATGGCACTTATAGATGGTGTATACATCAGTAAAAGCAATGCATCATGTAACAATTCTTCTTTGACACACCCTACCCCACGTCTGCGTGCGGTCACAAATAAGTCAAAAATATGTTGGAAACACTGTATTTCAATGGCAGATATCAGTGGGACCGCCCTCTTGTTTTAATGTCATATGCCAATTCTTAGTGGTATGCCACTTGGACTCGTTGTATGTTGCTGCTGTTCACGGCATTTCACTGGTCTTTCTTTGGCACATGCTGTACCACTACCCTGCATACAAGCCCTATTTAACCCTGGAACGTTTGCAAATTCCTGTGAGTAAAGTAATGCTTTAGGTTCTGTACATCCCAGTTCTCTGCCCCAGACTTCATGTCATATGTTGGACTCCAAAAGTTCTTATCTTTGTCGCGACCGCCCTCCTCTCTGGCGAATCCGTTCAAGGCCACACCTGTAGAGCCGAGATCCGAAGGGTGGTACACTGTAAAGCTCGGGGCTTTTCAGGAAATTCCTGTTCTGAATCTGACATGTGAACAACTGTTTCATTAGAGTGCTGCATAACCTGTCACCGACTGTATTCAAATCGGAGAGACGTCCACTGAAACCCAGGGGGAGAGAATATGAGTCATGCCAAAGCAAGCGGAGGAATGCATTCCTAGGAGATTAATGTGCAGCCTTCCCTGACCTACAATCACTGCTGAGCTCAATCGAATGTCACTCAGAGTGCTATCCAGCTAAAGGCAGATTGTCATTGACTGTTTGAATTTACCATATGAAAAGACTTTGTCAAGTTTAGAGCCAGTGGATGTGTCACATCATGATGTGGCCCTCAGCTATTGCCAAAATGTGGACAGGGGAGCCTTGATGACGACTCCATGTTCACAGAATTACAACAATGTAATTCTAACTTGCAAAGTTACCTCTGTTCACTTTTGTATCATAATGTTCTTTCCCCCCTAGCTTATTATGTACCTTATTAAAAGTTGTATAGACTCCTCCCTGGGCTTGAGCCAAAGATCCTCTCTTCTACACCTTGTTTCTGCACCACCCATGCCTCGCCACACCCCTCCCATGCGCCACCCTCCCTCTCCCCCTCCAACTTTGCTTGGCACTCCACATTGTCCTTTCGCCCAGTTGGCACCGGTTCTTATCTCCTTGGTCCACTTCCCCCTCCTCCCTGCTCCCCGCTTTACTCGCTCATCCTCTCCCTCAGCCTCAAACCTCCTGCTCTGACCAGGAGAACGGAAACACTTGAAAGGTGATGTTGCTGGATGAAGTAGAGTCGTGTTAAATTCCTGGCTTTTGCACCTATGCAGTTTTTTTTTTTTTTGTGTGTGTGAAATCCTGAGAAAGAAGGACTTTTGTCTAATCCAGCATGTAACTGAAATGATGATTTGACATTTTCCCGAGGGTTTGAATACTCTACAGCGGTCCGCTAGTCAAGACTTCATTTATTCCCTGTGATTTGTATAAAGTCCTCCACTGGCCCCCAGTGACACGCACTGTTCAGACCAAGCCAACAGGTGTCATTTGTCTTGGAAGCCATATTCTTTCCCATGCAAATGAACCTTTCGATTGTTAACCTGTCAGTCAGTGTCAACATGTTGAAACAACCTAATGAGGCATGAAGAGTTCAATCAGATGAATCTGAAAGAGGCTGACAACACTGGCATTTAGTGATCCTCCAAAGACTACATCATGCTGTGTGTGCGTGTGCGTGTGCGTGTGTGTGTGTGTGTGCGTGTGCGTGTGCGAGAGAGAGTTTTGTCTGCACTTGATGATCTTTTCCCCTCAGTGCCACCTCAACTTAAAGTGTGTAAACTGAAAAAAAAAAAGGTTTCTATATACCATTTGTCTTGTTTTCCCTCCCTTTCTTTATCTTTGCCGATGTTTTCCTGTTCCCTTAAAGGGAAACTTTGGCGTTTTGGGAAAAACACTTATTTGCCTTGTTTGCCAAGAGTTAGATGACGAGATTACTACTAGAGCCTGAAACACTCGGCTCAAGTCAAGTTATATAGGCAGCATTTTATGTATATTTGGTCCTTTGTTTTCATTCAAGCTAAATATATATATATTATTACCTTTGGACAGAGTCAAGCTAGCTGTTTCCTGTTTTCAGGCATTATGCTAAGCTAAGTTAGCCAGCTACTGTGGGTAGCCTTGTACTTGGTGTACAGACATCAAATAGATAAAGGGGCTGGAACTTTTCATATCCAGTTGAATGAGCAAGATAAGGTCCAGCACATTAGCTACTTCATCACTTTGTCTACTAATCACACGCTCTTCATTTGTTGGCTCATTAGGACTACATCTCCCCTGTAATTGGGACTCGGCTCTATTCACTTACCCTCCTCCCCTCAGCGCCCTCTTCATTGTCACCTGTCACTTCTTGTCACTTCCTCTCCTCCCTCCAGCCATCTCAGACAAGGCGGATGAGCGTCAAGCCGAGCACAGAAGCTCTGAGAGAGGAGAGAACCGTGTGTGGAGAACAGAGGAGGGGAAAAAAAAAAAGAAAAAAGAAATCAAACAGGCTGTCTTTTCTCAATGAGCTTCAAAGAGCTGTCACATCAGAGACACGAGGCTGCACTCTTCCTACACTCTCCTCCCGCTTCTTGCCAATTCACTCACTCACATGCTCGCATGTGCACCCGCTATCTCCCACACTCAGACACACATCTAGGCTGCTTTTTCCCGCCTTTCCTCGCCCGTCTTCCCTTTGAATGGGTTCGTCTCTTCTCCTCACTGCTGAATCACATTTCCCACTGTGCACTGTAACTGCGCGAAGAACCCGTTGAACCCATCGTCACTCCCTCACTCCCTTCTTACTCTGCCTCTCTGTCTCGCTGTGTCTGAGACTCTCTGCAATAACACTGTCTAGTCTCAGGTGGCCCGTCATTGTCAGTTCCTCCGGTTAATGCAGCGAGTGCTCGTCTGAGTGTTGCAGGCGAGGACATCCTGAAGTGATTGAGCAAATAAATATCTTTGCACCTCTTGCCTGGCACAATTGCTAAAACACAATCGATTTTAGGTCTGGGATTGTGGCACGGACGGCGTTTTGGGGACCTTGAAAAAGCGATTTCCAGCTTTTGTTTGCAAGTGCTGCTCAGTGTGTGTGTGTGTGTGTGTGTGTGTGTGTGGCTGAGGGTGTGTGTGTGTGTGTGTGTGTGTGTGAGAGCAAGAGAGGGGAGGGACAGATAGACAGTGTGGCAGTGTGATGTTTGTGTTTGTGTATCACTGCAGCACAATGAAGCTTGTCAGGCAAGTGGCATTCTTTTTGCTTCTCTGCTTTGTCCCCATTCACCGGTGTCGCCCAATTTTCTGTCGTGCCCAATGCAAATACCGAACCTCTATTCAGTGAGATGTTCTTTATTCTGTGGAAAGTCGCACAAAGGAAATCATACACTGACAGCAGTCTGACTTTTCATCCAGAGCGCTCCTTTATTCAGCAGGAGCTGGGCTGAGGGAGATATGGTGAATGACCTGTCTTTTTCTGGGTCCGAACCATGCCAGGGCAATTAAAAGAGCCGCACTACCTCTCCATTCAGCCGGGGCAAGACAAAGAGAACAGCTTGACTTATAACCCCAAATGTTAACCTGCACAACCTGCACTTTACTGCAGCTCTCGACCTACTTCACGAGGCCTTGAAGGCAGATTCACGCTACAGTAGAATTCACACACAGCCTCTTTAAAACTGTAGAGCTCATTTTGTATTTGTGAATTCGACTGCAGAGAGACTGTAATGATGATGTCATCGAGAGCCATATCCTCGAGCTGCTTTGTAGACAGTGAATAATGAAATGACTCCGACAGTAGCCACAGTGATTTTAACTGGGCACATTATCTGATTACCAGCTGTGAGCTCCACATCTAAATGAAACTCATTTGGATGGAAAACTTCAAACGAAAATCGTCTGAGCCTATAATCTAATTTAAAGTCAATGGACTAAGTAAAAAAAAAAAGTCCTGTAATGACATCATAAATTTAAGTCTTCCTGCTGTTTAGTCAATGAGACAGTTGTCTGTGTCATTAGATAATGGCTTTCCTTTCTGAAAACATAGATTGCACAACATAAATTCTGAAGGACGGATTTACCCTTTACAGAATGTGTGCTAATGAATGTTCAGATTTCTCTCCCTCCACCATTGGTTTGTTTTGCCATGGCCAAATTAAAAGGTTATAGTGATGTTTATGGTTAAAGCACTTTGTCTTAGCACAGCTAAATCATTTGTTTTTTTCCCTTAGTAAAATCCATCTTGGATCTTGGACTGAAACTGGGAAAAAAAAAGGTCTTTGTGTACCCACAATCTAATTTATCCAAACAATATAAGATTATACATGAATTATCTTGACTGAATGTCTGCCAATCCGCCAGGAAGTATGTGTTTTCATAAATAAGTTTTGATTTAGGGAAGGCCTAACAAATGATATCAGCCAGCCTGAGGGGACTTTCTCATAGATGCGGGAGCTTGATCATCAGTTGAGACCAGAAACAAGACAATTTATTTACCCAACGAGGTTGTCTGCTGGATCGTTTTCCTTTTCTCTCTGTCACTAATGTTGACAATCACAAATGTGGTTTTCAGCAAAGAAAAATGAAGCATGACATTGTAAACCCAGCCTTTTTATTAACCAATATTCTTTATTTGTTCGCCAGGCTCCGTACTGGACGTGATCAAGCATATCATCTCACGAGGTGAACACAAGACGGGCGTCCTGGACGAGGCCAGCATAGCCACTGTTTTGAAAGACGTGCTTGAGGGCCTGGAGTACCTACACAAGAACGGACAGATCCACAGGTAACGAGGCTCGTCGCCCCTCCGCACTGGTGCTGTAATAAAAGTGACACAGGACTTTTCATCACAGCTTAAGTACAAAGGCTTTAACAGGCTTCACCTTGAGGGTTTATGGAGCAGTAGTACGTAACTCCACCCCTGACTTTTCCCCATCTCCCGTAATAGTTGTCGTAGTAATATTTTGTCCGACCTTGACTACATGGGACATTCTGTGTGTATACTGGAGTCTGTGTCCGTTTGTGTTTGTATTGACACATTTGTTTGTAGTAATAACATGCAGTGCAGTCTACCCTGTGCAGAGGTTCACTCTGTAAAACAGATTGATGTAGATTAGATAAAATTTTGGATTAAATTAGCATTTTATTGAGGAATTTATCATTTTCCTGTGAATACCGGATTTCAGTGTTTTTGAAATATAGATTTCTTATTAATACTTAATATTAATTGATACATGCCATTATATGGAGACATCTCTACATACTTTCCTAATACCTTTCCTTATGGGGGTTCATTAATGTCATTATTAGCCAGGCTATTTTTATAAATCATGGTGACTAATTGCATCATTATGTGCCCGTTATCATTATGAGCTATCTATTACCATCATACTCCTTTCATTCTTCAGAGATATTTCTTTTGTCTTAGTCAAAAAAGTAATTGGCAACCTATGCAAATTAATCCAAGCTCTTAGTACGTGGTTTAATGCAAAGTACATTACATGGAAGCGGTGTGTGTTCTTCATCCGATCAGACATATGACTGTACCCAGGAAGTGGTATTTTCAGCCACAGCCACTTTCACTCCTAAAGGTCAGGGGATTCATTGGGATCTGAATAGAGATAAGGCGGCATACTTCACTAATGGGGCCTGCGACAAGTGTTCCAGAAGAAGAAGCAGTAATGATGTGTTTATGGCTCACCACCGGAGAATGGCTCTGGATTAAAAAAACAAAAAAAAAAAAAAAAACTGTCCGCTCACTTTTTTATCTTTCCTGTTCATGTTAAATCTGTACACAGTATATAAGCCCCTGGTGTTTTAATGAAACTGCAACAACTTTAAGTCAGAAACTCCAGTGAGACGTCTCTAAATAGACTTACCACATACCACTTCCGAGCTGATAATCTTTAAGAGTTACTAACTGAATATGCATAAGTGGAATGTGTCAATGGCAGATTTGCGTGCCACAGGAAACGCGACGCTGAAAGCTCTCCTCTAAGCCATTTCAAGACCTGGCTAAGTCCCTGCACTCGGGCTGTTACAATGAACCCAGTCAAACACACTGACTGTAGAAGCCATCACACTACCTCCTCTGTATTTAATATTCATCACTCACTTTTTCATACGACTCCTTTATACACACACACACACAGCCCGGGACAGGCTACATGTGTAAATAATGCATAGCTTTTTGGCTTGGTTAAGTGCTGAGCAGCTTTCAGAGTAGCATGCCAATGAGAGAGAGAGAGAGAGAGAGAGAGAGAGAGAGAGAGAGAGAGAGAGAGAGAGAGAGAGAGAGAGAGAGGAGAGAGAGAGAGGAGAGAGAGAGAGAGAGAGAGAGAGAGAGAGAGAGAGAGAGAGAGAGAGAGAGAGAGAGAGAGAGAGAGAGAGAGAGAGAGAGAGAGAGAGAGAGAGAGAGAGAGAGAGAGAGAGAGAGAGGGATGGCCTTGATTGAAGACTTTAACCATGGGTTTGGATGAGGGATATATTGTCTTCAGCGGTGCAGATGAAGCTAACAGATCGTCCGCTCATTAACCTGCTGATTAGAAAACTGCTTTATCCTATAGAAACTGTAGGCGGATATAAAAGGAAATTGCATAAACACTGATTAAAGTACTGTGTTAATTAAAAGGAAAGTCTGCTGCGGCATTTCAGTATCCAGCTCCAGCATAATGTGACAGGGTTATCGGTCAGTGCCACAGAGAAGGAAATGTTTTTCCTGAATTAAAACCTGCCTTCAACTCTGCGCCCTGTCTCAAGAGACATTAGGGAATCATTAATAGATCATCTATTCTTCACATCTGTCCTACCTCGGGCTCTGAGGCGTGAATCATGAAAAAAAAAAAGAAAAAAGAAAATGTGAGGTAATCTCCCAGCACTGAAAATCGTTGACATGCTGAGAGTGGAGAGGCCATGATCAGTCGGTCGGGGTCTGCTGGCGACGGCTCTGTGCGTTCCTCATGTGTAAGCTGTATCATATGAGTCGGAGCCTCAGGGCAAGGGGGACGATGGAGAGAGTCAAGGGGGTGAGGCTCTGCGGGGAGGGAGAGAGAGAGAGAGAGAGAAAGCATCACATGATATGTTCCATCCAGACCAGGATGGCAGAAAAGCAATTAGAGTCTTGCGGCCTGGACTGTAGGCACAAGCAGAGACATTTACCACAGGACGGCAAACTCCTCCACCTCCACGTTCACAGCAGCTCGGAAAGTCAGTGACTCAAAGGTGACACTTGTCCACTAACTCGAGCAGCAGGTAGACACCATGCACGTGACATAAAAAGAATACCAGTGCAGTCTGGATTTTGTCAGTTGAATCTCAGAAAATCGGCCTGCGAGTTTTTTATTTATTTGGAAAGTGATCTTAAAGTTGCGGTGAGCTCTTACTTATTCTCAGAAACCTCACGTCTTCTGAGGGTACATGGGAAATTACTCAGTGTGTGGTTTGCTAATGATCAGGTAATGGCTGTAGTTACGCTGCCTCTGGGAGCAGAGAGACTCTTGCTGTGGATTAAAGCTAAATTCACAAAATAAGAAACAAAAAATTAGAAAACAGATGAGAATGCAATTCAGCAGTATGGAAAAAGCAATCAAAATACAACAAGGGGAGATATTTGTGCGGTCAAAACAGGGCACGAATAAAAGAGGGGAGGTATTTCATCTCCACAGGAGACTCACGGGGCATCTCATAAACCCTCTTTTTTTTTTTACTGCCCTGTCAGGGGCACTGTGAGCCTGGCACCAGGATGTGATGTCACAGGAGGTGACCCGGTGGAGCTGAAAGGTGCGAGGGGCTGCCAGATGAGGGAGATAAATCCTCCTGACATTTTGATAGCCTGGCTGTTCCCACCTGGCTACTGTCTGGCTATCATTTCAGTAGGTCACAAATGTGGAGAGACCACACATATCTTGTAATTTTCAGTCATTTTAAGTTGCATAACACCTCAACACTTTAATTCACTTCAGCACAAAGAAATTAGCATGATGTGTCAGTTATTCTTAAGGCTCAAGCCCACCTATTATTGTAGCATATGGCTGGATGACTAGTAGGAATTGGGACTTAAACTGCAGGTTGGCTTTTTCTTTTTCTTTTTCTTCGCTGCTACAGTATTTCTTTGAACTTGCATGGTGCATTGTGTCACCACCTCCTCCCCCTCCTCTTCCTCTCCTGTGAATGTTAATGACTGTCTACACTCTGCAGACTTTTTCTCCGAGCATTACAATCTGCTGCAGTGAACCATAGCCCCCACGCTCCTTGAATGAGTGCAGAGGGACACTATCAGTTCGTCTTGATCACTCTCTTTTTGTAAATGAAGCAGCTTCGTGGTTTGTCTGCTGTCAGAGCGGAGCGTATTAAATCGAAGATTCGGCGTATGATAATACTGAAATCGCAGAGATTAGTTTTAATTTGTCAATTTCAACAAGCTGAACAGCACAATATCACGACTGTAGTGATGATGATGATGATGTCATACAGACATATTGAGAATGAGCACTGAAATAACTCTAACATTGCTCTGGTTCATAGCTTTAATACGGATAAAACTCACTAATTTATTAAACAACTTCAGAAAAAGTTTTCTGATGATTTGATCATTTCATGTCTCGATCTTGACTTTTAGCCCTAGAGATGGTGATATAGGTCGGTCGGTCGGTCGGTCGGTCGGTCGGTCCAACACTTTGGTCCAGACATTGGTCAGCAGCTAGTGGATGGATCGCCTTGAAATTTTGTCCAATCATTGTCTCCAGAGAATGAATCCCTCTGACTGCGGTGATCCTCTGAGTTTTCATCTAGCACCATCCTCAGGTCAAAGTGTACATTTGTCAAATACTAAAAAACTTCAATACTGCAAAACTAATGACATTCCCTTTCAGCCTCAGCAGCAGTTTGTGTTTAGTGTTGATTGGCTAATGTTAGCATGCTAACACTGAGATGGGGAATATGGTAAACATCATTTCTGCCTAACATCTGTATGTTAGTATTGTCATTGTGAGCATGTTAGCTTGCTGATGTTAGCATTTAGCTAAGTAGAGCCTCACAGAGCCACTAGCATGGCTGCAGACTCTAAGGCTCGATGGATACTGACTTTTACTGTCCAAAATCATTAAGATAGCTTAGTATAAATTCTGTATTGGGGGGTACTTCTCTCTTCAAATGGCATAGGTCAACTTTCTGGCATGTTTCCAGATACACAGACAGAAGACATTCATACAACTACTCCTTTTTCTTGGGAAAATGAAAGAAGCGAGATGACAAGTTAGCGGATCTTGTGACATGGCCAGAATGGGTAATTGGCCTGGATTGAACCCGCAATTCCTTGTTAAAAATACTGTACATCTTTAGCCTGTGCTTAACCCTGACTCACAAACAGTAAAAGACATGACTGGAGCCCCTGAGAGAGGGACGTGGTTGTGTAAACGAGGGGAATGTATTTTGGGATACTCCCGGACTTGCCTTTCGGCCTTAGGTGGTCCGGTCTAATCTGTAAAAAGCAACATCTCAAATTACAAGACGTGAATCATACCTATTGTACGTGCTAACACCCAAGATAGAGGATGAACATGTTTATGATTAAGAGGAAGTAGAAAAGTGCACGAAAAGGGGGAAGATATTGTGACCTGATGTCGCCTAGCTGTTATGTGAGGGCAGCAAAGTGACAGTGGGACAAGCCGGAGAGCCGCGGAGCACAGACATCTGTACGGCAGCAGACATTTCTAACTGTCGCTTTTTCAAAGCCACTAGCAAAGGCTGTCAAGTCCGTTCTTCGTCCACCCTTTTTCCTTCCTCTGCATCATCCCCAGTCTGACACTTACGTAATTGAACTCGTCTAGACACAAAATGCACATCAAAGTTTTGCCACATGTAGTACACAGACAGCTCTCTCTGCCTGAGCTGATAACTGCAAACACTGTTTAGAGAAGACTGATACAGTCACCTAACACCCTGCTCTGTATCTCAGCATTCCAGTCTTCTTCTGGTTACTTTTTGCTTTCCCAGCGTTCATTTTGCCCTGCAATGGCAATCCCCGTCTTTTCTTTTCAGCCTATGGTCCCAATATGTCACACATGCTCCATTTCTTCTTCTGTGGCTCACTGTTTGCCGCTCCCTACCCTTGTCAGTATGAGATCTGTTGGCTGTGTGGTATTTTACTGGAGCGCTCTCAGCGAAAGAGGCCTCTACACTCAAGTATTCAGCGGCTTTTGGGCAAACATCTGAACTGTGACCTGTAAGCTCTTGAGTCCTCTCAGCTCATTGTGCTTCTTGAGTAGGCTGCTTGTAAAGATTGCAGTCCCCCAAATACTTTCCCTCGTTTACACAACCACTGTTCCTCTTTCAGAGGGTCTGGTCGTGTCTTCCACAGCTCTCAGTACCTTGTGAGTCTTAAGTAGGTTGCTTGTAAAGATTTGTACTTGTAGCTTGTAGCAGCAAGAGAAGAGGGTGCTCAAGCCAAACTGCCAACTCCACCTCTTTCACTTTTTTTTTTTTGCTACAAAACAGGGGCCTCTGGAAGCGTCCAGGAACCCAGGTAATAGATTTTTTTATTTTTTTTGTGATCCATGGAAAGTTTCAGCACAGTAGCGTAACAGTCTTTTCGATCACTACATTTATCTCTGTCGTCTCCCACCACCCCCCAACTGCCCAACCCCCCACCCCCCAATCCCATAAAGTGGTAAAGTGAACCTTTGTTTCTTGGAAGCTGTGTCATGTCTCATCTCTAAACCAGTACTCCGAAGACCAGTCTATTTTTACATTCATTGAGACCTTTTTGTTTCCTGGAATGATCCAACAGTATTTGTCTCATCAAAAGCAGCAAGCTTTTTACTCCAGTGCCCCCATCTGGTAGCAAGGTGAACTGCTCAGCTGTTGAGACTGCATCTCTTTTTTGGATCTTTTGTCTGCCTGTCAGTACAGTTTTAAGATCTGTCTGTGGGTAATTTGTGAAAAACAAAATCTTTTAGAAGATGTTTAAGTCAGTTTAATGGCTGACAATGTTCCGGGGCTTAACCCTGTCAAAGTCTTTCTCTCATTATTCTCTTTTTAAAATGTACATTCACTTCCTGAAAGGCTGGACAGCAGAAAGAGCTGACTGTTGTCCTCCGTGACCCTGCTGACATCCTTACTTTTTATTTCCTCGCCTTTCACTTGACCCTTCGACTTTATCTCTGAAAGTCTGTTGCTATGACAACCCTGTCTGGCTGGTGAGATGGCACCATTCGCTCTGTGTGGCAGCGAGTGTGTGCGAGTGCGCACGGAGGCAGACAGGCAGTCAGACAGCTGTCCCTGCTGAATCCGCTTATCACCACCAGGGGAGGCTGAACAGGGTTGAACAAATTAACTACAGTATGTGTGTGTGTGTGTGTGTGTGTGTGTGTGTGTGTGTGTGTGTGTGTCATTAATCAAGTCTTTATAAAAGCTCAGCCTGTGAGAAAGGTGAAAGCTTTGAAGCCTATGTGTTGCACCAAGATGTATTAAATCAAGTGTTTTTGACAAGTTAAGAGTAAGCAATCAAGTGAGGAAGAGATCCTACGCTTGAACTGAGTCGGTAACATAACTGAACTGTGAATGTGCGTCTCTACTTTTTCTGTTTATCTTTTAATCTACATGAGACTCTTTATCTGTGTTTTGGCAGCTCCTTGTGGAATTTATTTAATGTACAAATTCTTGTCTTGTCTTTCACAGAGATCTTAAGGCTGGAAACATTCTCCTCGGGGACGATGGTTCAGTGCAAATTGCAGGTATTTACCCACAAGGCAACACCACCCTCCGGCACCTGTCACTAGTGACGCAAATTAGGTGCGAAGAAGCAGAAGTTTTCCCCTCACCTGTGCTGCAGCCCCATTTACCCCTGTTAGACTGCTGACTCTGTTCCAATATCTCAGTGTATTTATACTCAGGAGGGCCAGTCTGTGGAGGAAAATGTACCGCCATGACAGTACCATTATTGACTAACCGCTTTGTGTCCTTTGTGTGTTTGTCTCTTTTTTTTTTCCTCTTCCCTTCCTCCAGACTTTGGCGTCAGTGCCTTCCTAGCCACAGGTGGTGACATCACTCGAAATAAAGTGCGCAAGACGTTTGTGGGAACGCCATGCTGGATGGCCCCGGAGGTCATGGAGCAGGTCGGTCCTCTTTACCATAGAGCCAAGAAGTAACCATGACAACAGAAAACGCACAATTAGCAACTAACATTCTAATGTTCAGACCAACTGGCAACGAAGGTCACAAAGTCATTTTTACTCACACTCTTTTAGAAATCTGAGCTCTTTTGCCATAATTCATCATCTCTAAAATGACTGGACAATCCCTGACCAACAATAAGACTCAATAAAGAATAAATTATGAAAAACTCTAACAGGGGAACAACTTCTTTATTGGAAACCGACTGTGCGGGGTTTTTTTTGTTTGTTTTTTTTGCTATTTCTTAATTCAAGAATGAAACAAACCAGCTTTTCTGTGAACAAACGTCACGTTTTAAGGTTTAATATTTATCTGAATACAAGACAAAGAAAGAGCTGAAGTACAAAAGCTGAACGTGATCTGTTCCTGCAGGTGAGGGGTTATGATTTCAAAGCAGATATTTGGAGTTTTGGGATCACAGCCATCGAGCTTGCCACAGGGGCCGCACCGTATCACAAATATCCGCCAATGAAGGTGAGAACACTTCACTAAAAATGCGCAGTTAATGGCGCGGAACAAATGCAAAGTCAGTTCCTTCTGACTCGCTGTGGATTTGTGCCCTTGTGACATGTGAGTAAAAGTGTTTTCTGGTGTTGTTCAGGTGTTGATGCTGACGCTGCAGAATGACCCTCCTACCCTGGAGACCGGCATCACAGACAAGGAGATGGTGAAGAAATATGGCAAATCCTTCAGGAAGATGATCTCCCTGTGTCTACAGAAGGACCCAGAGAAAAGGTGCTGATTGTAATGCCTTTAAATAAAGTCTCATATGTTAATACTTAAAAGTGGCATCTGGTAGACGCAGAAGGCTTCAGTGTTTTTGCTTCTTCCGCAGGAGGCCAATTATGCGCTTATCACAAAAGCATGTGACATGTGCAGCTGTGGACATTGAATTACACAATTTAGCACTCATTAAGCAAAGCAGCATATAATTGCTTTTATTGTCCTGATCACAATCACTTTGTTCCATTATGCTTCAATAGTTCCATTAAACATTCCAGCTCAAGTTTTTCCTGTCACTGGGAGTGCGAAAGCTGCGAAAGACAAATTAAACGGACTAATTCATTGTTATTCTGCTGTTTTTCAGGCCAACATCCTCAGAGTTGTTGAAGCATAAATTCTTTCAGAAAGCAAAGGTAGGTGCTTGAGCTCCCTCTTGGCCTGAGACTGAATCAGTTACAGAATGAGTCAGCATCATCCCTGTTTCAGGCACCGGTTGAGCTGGTTGATGAGTAAAGGTCTGAGCCTGCAAAAGTGATTGTGTCTAAATTGCCTCAGTTTAGCCTCCGTTTAAAATGAATCTCAATGCTCTCAATGACCATATATTGGTTGTTTTGTTTTTTTTTTGTTTTAGCTCCAGAGGTTTTGAAATGATTGAAGGATGGTTTAATGTTGGAAAAGGAGAAAAAACACAAGGCATCAAGGGATGAAAATACTCCAATAAAGTTTCTCTCCCTGAGGTGTTTGTGTGAGTCAGGCTACTTCACACTTGGCTCTATTTGTCAGTGTATCTGACCCAAACTGAGGTCATTGCAGCATTCCTCTCATTATTGGCCGTGCAGAGCTGCTTCTAACAAAGGCAGGGATAAGCAGTCTAACTCCAGCCTCCGGCTGCCCAGTACCCTAGCAACTGGAACAACTAGAGTGCTGGCTCAGCATGTCACACAGCCCAAATACAACCTGGTTGGTTTACTGGACGTGACCCTGGTCAGCAGCTGGAACCCCAGTACTCTGTATGTACAGCAGAGGGCAGGCTCTGTCGTTGTTGTAGAACAGATAAATCTCGGGGCCGTATCAGCCTGCGGGGGGGGGATTCAACTGGCTAACAAGCAAACATATGATTATTGATTTGCTATACTGCTGATGAAATCTGCTCATTTGCCGCCGTGTCGATAACAAGAGTTTGTTTGTCAATAATGTATTTATAACTGTATTCCCAAATTCAATATCCATCATTTGAAGAGCAAAAGTCACAGCGACACTTAGAGTAGGACTGTTGAGTTTATAGTAAGTAAAGCTTAGTTCATATAGAAGTTTAGAAAACCAGGCTTACGAAACAGATATAAAAAAGAATTATGAAAAGAATAAAGATAAATCAGGAGAAGGAAGCAGATCTTAAGATGAAATTTCAAACATTTACTGACCTGATCCTCACAGGGAGGCAGTTAACCTGGGAGCCAGGACAGAAGAAGCTCAGTCACTGTGAGTCTTGTACTTTGAGCAGAGAACAACCAGGAGCCCTTGTTTTGATGACCTGAGAGGCCCTGTGTGGTTATATGGGGTCAGCAACTCACTCATGCAGGATGTGGTGGAGCCAAGTTGCATAAGGCCTTAAAAGTATTTCAGTCCTGCATTTGACAGTATGGTGGTCAGTATAGAGAAGAGTCTTAGTTGGTAAAGCACAGTGTTTTTTAAGACTTAATCAGGCAACAGAATAAACAGATACAGAGGATTTTGTGGTGACATCCTTTTCTCTTTCTTGCCTCTCATGACAGACCCATGAGTATTTACATGAGAAGTTACTTCAGAGGGCGCCCACAATAACAGAGAGGTCAAAAAAGGTAAGACAGCAAAGGTTTATATGTAATTAAATACATTTATATTTTCAGTGAATTGCTAACAAGACAGGTTTGTGTGTGTGTGTGTGTGTGTGTGTGTGTCAGGTACGTCGAGTGCCAGGTTCCAGCGGCCGGTTGCATAAAACGGAGGATGGCGAATGGGAATGGAGTGACGATGAGCTGGATGAAGAAAGCGAAGAGGGCAAAGCGGCTGTTGCGGCCTTAAGGGTGAGATGAACCCGCGATTCGTTTTTTCCTCTCACGTGCACACATTAACACTTTTGTTACACTCCACACGTCTTGTCTTTTAATCGCTGTACCCTGTTGAAATTGTCATTCTCGTGTCTGTGCAGTAGCATGTTTTGTCCATTGTCTCTCCACTGAGTCTCCCCTGTATGTGTGTATGTTCTGTCTGACGGCCAAGGAGCAGCAGGGGAAGCCTGTTAGCGCCCCCAGGCGACAAGTGCGCTTCTCCTACCCACTCGAGCTGCCTGCGTCCAGGGTTGTTCACTTGCCAAAACAATACAGATGGCATTCCCCTAACAAGGAAGGACTCTCTCCGCACATGTTAGCTAGGGAGCATGTGACCGCTTGGAAGGGGCAGGAAAGACCTTGTAGGGTGACATGAAGGTGGAGAAGGGAGCAGATAACCTCTGTTGTTGGAGCAAGCGAGGGTCGTACACATGTGGCAGATATTGAAATGTATCATTATAGTCTATACATCAGGTTTCATTTTGACTTTTGGTTAAATTCCCTTTAGATCTTTATGATTAAAGAAAGATTAAATTGATTTCCCAGAGTAAATCTGTGCACAGATAAGCTCTTATCCTCTAGATAGTGCTGACTTTGTTCTCCCATTATATAACTTTACACTAACCTATCAGAAGACAACTAGCAATTATTTGTTACGCAATGGGTTTGTTGAAAGGAAAGGTTCACTGCATCGTGTCTGAGCAGAAATCTGTCCATGCTGTAGATCACATGCGAGTGGAATTTGACCCACAAGTTAACCTCGTCAGAACCCATTAGTCAGTACAGTAGGCGTCTTTTTCAACAGTGAGCTACTTTGTCACATGGGAAAGAAGCAAATATGTGGTTTTCACTGGTAAATAGCCGAGATCAAAGGGTAGTTTTGCCCGTCAACAATAACATACAAAAGATATATCCTTTATAGACAGTAAATTCAATACATTAAAAAAAGAAAACAAGAAATAAAATTAAACTTTATTAATTTACTGTAAATTTGAAGGACTTCAGTTGTAGTTGTCACAGTCACAATGATGTAGATTGACAGTTGTGTGAGAGTTCCCTTTCCTGGAAGCCATCTGTATTTCCATTTCTCTTTTCTAAATCACTTTTTGTTTATACTGACTAAATCACTTTTAATCAATACAAGCCAAATTACTTATCAGTCCTGTAATTGATATTTAATTACCATCAAGGAATTCAAATTTGACAGTATCTCTGCTGCTTTCATGCTGCTTTGTCACTGGCTACTTGCTGGCAAACTGAACTTACATTTCTTACAACAGCTCTATTTGAAGATACAGTATATCTCGAAACTTCAAAGAACTGATGCTCAATAATTCAATCAATCCATGTTTTTATTTTATTTTTTTTATTTTTTTTATGCCAATATGAAATGATAACTCTTCAGCCCAGAAAACAGATTCATATTGTCAGACTCTAGAGCCTGGCTGAGCACCTGTGTAGTGTCTGTCTGTGCTGTAAAGACCAATACAGTCTCCTCAATAGCCGCCCGAACACCAGTCGCTTTGTCTGAATCTGACAGCAGGTTTCAGCCTAGACGCCACATCATGTTCTCTCAGTCAAGTCAGTTTGTCTTCATTTGGGCCCGCAAGGCTTCTGTCTGACTCTACATTGCTGCGATTGGTTTGAACTTTTTTGTTTGACTTTGTAACAGTGTGACCTTCTTCTGACTTACTCTGCTTCCAAGCTTTTCAAATCTAAAACCTGAAGGATATATGAAACTGCAGAATGTATGTCTTCACTCGTTTACCACTCAATTATAGATGTAATCTTACACTCTATATAGTTTTCTGGTGAATTTTCTGGTAATTTTACACATTTATGGCCATTCAAGTAAATATCTGACATTTATCTGTACTTCATTGCAGTGATGCAAAAATTCCCATAATTCAGGACTGTGTATTGAGCCTAATACAACCAGAAATATTAAATAGCCACCCTGCTAGACACTGTATAGCAACACCTCTCACTAAATACTCTCATATCACCCAACCACATCAGCACCAATACTTCAAGGATAGTTGAAGTATTATTAGCATATAATATCTCTGTCCCCACTGTATTGATATCACTGTATTCATCTTAAAGGAGATCATGATAAATCAAGTGGGCCGCCGATAAATGAGACAAGTAAACGAGTGAGCCGTTTTTTTTTTTTGTTTTGTTTTTTTTTAATCCGTTTACCTCTCTCGCTTTCTGTGTGTTCTTTGCATCCATGCGTGCTGTTTTTTGCTTCGCTAAAACGCATCACGGCGAAATCCTTCTCTGAGTGTAATCCTCTCTCGTCTGTTTTTATCAGTCACCACGAGTGAAGGAGGGATCACAGAATTCAGAGGTGAGTCTCGAAAAACTCCTCTCTCTACAGTCGAGTTTCCGTTCACTGGTTTTAGACCCTTTTTAAACACCGAGATTATATTTTGATTCACTTTTGGTCGAACCCCGTACAGGGGTGTGAAAGCGTGAGTGAGATTAGATGAAATCTCTCCTCGTAGGTTTTCCAGACTCCGGAGCCCTTAAGTAGTCAACTCCAGCCGACGGCCGCAGGTCAGGCAGAACTACCTCAGGCTGCAGGCCAGGTTCCACTGCAGCCCACACCAGTCAACACTCAATCCACTGCCCAGGCTGCATCTCCCACACCGGGCGTACCTGCTGCTGCTGCTGCTCCCACACAGGTCCGGCCTGACCTCGCTTAGAGGATGTTTTCCATCATATGCTTCTATTTTAAGACGTCAAATATATCTATCATATGTTTGCCGCTCTATTTTATGATGTTGCTTCCTTGTTTTTCTCCTATAAATGTGCAAATTAATTGCTTTATTTCTTTGTTTTGACAGGTTCCAACTGCTTTAGGGGATGCTAAGGCTCCTATTAGTTTGGTATTAAGGTTAAGGTATGTTTCTGCATTATCAGATAAAAACTGGTTTACAAAGAGATGATTTTGTCAGTCTAACTTTCACCATCCCTGTGTACTTGATACCTTTGTTAGTATGTTGCAGTTTCAGGTGAATGGAATAAATCTTATATGTTTTACCGACCAATGAATGATCAAGTTGACCCCTCTGATCTGGTTTCTGTTTTCCTTTCATCCCTTCAGAAATTCAAAGAAGGAGCTAAATGACATCCGCTTTGAATTTATGCCAGGGAGAGGTAAGTGGACTTTCTTTTTTAAGAAAATTTTACCACCAGTCTCCAGTTAGTTTAAAAAAATAAAAATAAAAAACAAACAACCAGAACTAAAATCAGCTCATTTCAATAACTGTCAGCACTGAGGACAGAAGCGGCTGTTTGTTTTTATTTATTTATATATATTTTTTTTAGCAGCCCTCTGAGTACTATTGCCCAAACCCAGCTGTTTTGACGGTTGCATCAGGAACCAGAGTGTTCTGGAACTTATTAAGCCACTTTGTTAAAATATTTGTTTTCATTATAAATACACTGTTTTTGGTCCGTGCGTCACAGTTGGTCTCTCATGCTCTGACTTTTCAGACACAGCAGATGGTGTGTCCCAGGAGCTGGTGTCAGCGGGCCTGGTGGATGGGAGGGATTTAGTAATAGGTCAGTGGTTAAACACACATAATCTATTTCCATCAGAATATTTATCTGAAGGTTGAAAATTGCCTCTTGATTTTTATATTTAAAAAGGCCAGATTACAGCGCAATACACACTCCCATTTTCTCACATTGGGCCTCGTGCACGAAGCACTTTTTGCATGCAGATTGGTTTCTTAAGTGCCTCTGAGGTATTTATGAAAACGTGTCCCATTTACAAATTTTCTCATATGTTGAATTTTTCCTTTTATTAGCTATGGTTCAGTACTTGTTTGAAAATGCTCTGACTCCAACAGCTGCTTTAGGATCAACTTGCTTTCCAGGGGAACATCCTCTGTTACATCACCTAAAAGTGTAATGTCACCTACTCTATAAAGCGGAGGTCGCACCACGAAGCGACATTTACTCGTCCATGCGAAATAGGCGGGGCCGAAATCTTGGACGGGATAGTGACTGCTCGCGCGGCTCGTGGTGAACTGCTGTAGCCGAACCCGTGAACCCGTGAGCCCATGAGCCCGTGAGCTGGCGCGGCCGGACTAGCACTAATCGGTCACAACAGCTCCTGGAGTATATTTTTCTCTTTTTTTCTCTCCTCTGTTCCGTTCCCTTCCTCCTGGCATTTAGTTCACCATAACACACCCTTTCATTCAGTAAAAAGATATTGAAGAGGGCAAATAAAGCTGTCTAAGCTAACAAGTTTGACTACCTCTAATTTACTGTTAACAAACTTGTTAGCGTAGCTCAGTCACTAACAGGACAAATTGTTTATTCAAAAGATATATTAGTTCCATTGACTCATTTCACATAACTGTCTACCAAACATCCCTCTGAGGTTTTTACTCCAGCAGAGGTTCAATAAAACTGGACGATAGCTTCCTCCATTTTGGAATCTCCGACTCCTCGTTCCCTCAAAAGTGTCAGCACTGTCCAGACAGCTTGCTATTGGTCAACTGCAGCGTGTCAAAGTTCACCAAAGTTGAACACTACGCAGAACATTTCTGGTTGTGGTCTAAATGCTGGTGTGAGCAACTCTTAATATTCTCGCGTCCACCTCCATGACTTCGTGAATGCTTCTGTCTGCCCCAGACACGACAACCTGCACTGCTACCTTTGTCCTGTGTTTGTGATTTCCGACAGCTGTACTTTTGGTGCTGACACATTCTTATTTTTTACTCTTTTGTGAATGAAACTTGACCACAAACGGAGTGGAAAAAGGTATCCGTATGCAGTGCATTCAGAAAGTATTCAGACCCCCTTTATGTTGCAGTCTTATGCGCAAATAAAAAATAATAATTTTCTACACTGCAGAAATGTCTAAAATTCTGTTTTCACTTTGTCCTTATGGGGTATTATGTGTAGATTGATGTAGATGGATGGAATTTTTTTTTTATTATAGCATAAGGCTGCAACATAACAATATGTGAAAAAAAACTTTCTGAATGCATTGTATGGCACTTTAGAAGCATCAGTTGTGCTATTGATGACATCTCACCAGCGCGGAGATTGAGATATGAAATCAACTTACAGAAAAATGATTTGCATGAGGCCCAGTGTGTCACATTCTTCTCACATTTTCTGTTTTTAGATATTTTGTCAAAGTAGTTCAAGATTTATATATATATATATATATGTATAAATATTTTTTTTTTTTATTGGACTGAAACATAGTTTTTCTTTGCAGTTGCTGCAAATTTGCAGAAAATAGTTGATGAGCCTCAAGCCAATAAAAATGTCACTTTCAAACTGGTGAGTGTAACATTTACAGTATAAACCTTTGGAGTTTGTTTTTAGGAAATCATTGGTACATCTGTAAGCATTATAGTATGAGCTATTTTATTATAGTTGTGTTTTTGTAGTTATTGAATCTAACAACAGAAGTTACTGATGAACTGCCATTTTGACAAATTACAGTGACTCAATAGACAACGTGGATATGAAACTGAATGAATTCAAATCAGGAAATTTTCTCTTAACACTTCAGTAATAGTTTTGTAATAATAATCCTCTTAAAGTAAATATTGTAATGTGTCCCTCATGTTTTTTGTTAACCAGTTTTTAATCGCTCCCTCTTGTTTTCACAGGCCTCTGGAATTGAGGGATCTGAAATACCAGATGACGTCAAACTGATGGGCTTTGCTCAGCTCAGCATTAGTTAAACTGTTGTTCTACCTGGGACCGTGACTTGCCTAAAAAATGTGAAAATTTAAAAAAAAAATAGTTTAATGCATTTTTTTTTTTTTTTTTTTTCTTTCTATGGCTGTAAAGAAACCACTACTGCCAAAGAAAACAGTACCGTTTTGTCACCCATAGGATTATACAATGCCGCCTCGTTGGCTTAGGTGGTCGGCTGAAGTATCAGAACGTACAGTATAAGAATCACTCAAAAAAAAAAAGTTTACAGTGTATACGTAGAAGGATGCAACTATCTACAGCAAACCGTTTTCATTTCCCATCCTGGTCGCCCTCATTCTGTTATCTTTTTCTCTCTAATATGTGATGCATTTGCACAATCTAAACTAACACCCCTTGAATCCTGATAAGTGTAACAATGCCTTATATTCATCAGAACTACTGAATGCACGTTTTGGGGAGGTCCCCAGTTACCATATAGAGCATTATGTTGTCTGAAATGTACAAAAGTGGTTTCAAGTGCAGATGTCAAACTTTTCACTTTATTTTGAAACTGCAGACTAGAATTTAAATTTTGTACACAACCTGAAATACTCTCTCACAATGAGTTCTGTTACGATGTGGCAAAGTTTAACGTTGACTTTTTTGTGAAAGATGTGAGCTCCAACAGTAAGCAATCTTTAAAGGATAAAGTTTTATTCTGTATTTTTTGCTTTTTTTGTCGATAAATACAATTTAAAAAAGACAAAATAAAACTTTCCAACTTCGCTATTGTGACCTTCACATCAACGCCAATTGGTTCTGAAGGAGGATTTAAATCTTTAAAACTGGGGCATCCATATGTAGTTTCATTTTTTTAAAGCCAAATAATTTGCTGAAACACCAGGGCACTTTAATTTTTAGAAAATGTTACTCAATGAGAAGTAAATGGGGACTTTTCACCCGTGGAATGATACGCATTTGGTGCACTTTGATTTTTTTTTTTTTACAGTAGAAGGATAGCAAATGTGGAGTAGACTCAATAAAATACGGTGCCCTTGTTCATTGTTATGAAGGAACATGTCAGTCACTGAAACAGCGTGGCTCACTGATGTGTTTTTTAGTTTTTGGGCAATGAAGGAGCACATGAGGAATGAGCTACCAGGATACTGGACTTTGGCTACACTGTCAAATCTTTTTAGTAGAATCAGTTCAGTGCTGGCTTTGGTCTTTTCATGGGATTTATTGACCATAAGAAAAGTATAGATAAAAAACAAGGATAACTCACAAGACGTATCCTTCTGATACAAATCTCAACTAATTGACACAATAATACAAGTTAACTATTTAGGAAGGATAGGATTTTATTTTACCCTGTCAAATGAGCTCATTTGTCTTTTTGGTGCTACCATATTGTTGTCAAAACTTAAAATTGATGTAGAATGAAACCAGAAAGTCAACTTAGAAAACCAAATTAGCTTTTTTTTTTTGTTTTTTTTCTAAAGATTGGCTTCCTTTGAATGTGAATATCCATTGAAAATTGTTGTGAAGTAAAATGTTTGACAGCAGCTGAAACCACTCATGTCGTATGAGCAGATGTGTCTGTCTGTTGGAATCAGTTTCTCAAATTCTTTAAAAAAAAAAAGAAAAGAAAAAAGACTTAAGTGCATATTTCTTTATGTGGATGAAAATTAAGTTCTTGATTTAACCTCTAGTATGTAAATAATGACATTTGGCTTTGATTTGTTTTTATACTGGGTGTTTCACTCTTGGCCTTTTTTTCTGTCCTATGACACGATAGTGGGTTGTAGCGCTGCATGAAGGAAGACGACAACAACACTGCAAATTTGGCTTTGAATTCCCCCTCATTTTGCAGGACAAACTATCACTTACTGTATGTCATGTATGACGTTTATTTACCTTTACTCAAAAAAAAAAAAGAAAAAAAAGAAAAGAAAAAAAGTCAGCTTTTCACTTTTTGCCTTTTGAAAAGTTTGAATTTATTTTTGCCGTGGAGCCACAGCTGTCCTGATGCACCGCTTAATGCCTGTCCGCCATAAAATTCCCCAAATTTTTAGCTGAGAAATTGTCTCCAACTCTTAATAAACACCAAGCGGAGGCTGTTTACAGAAGTTATTTTCACCCACATCTCAAGTCATAGATACTGCGTTAGCACTTGTGAAGTATTTTTTTTTTTTTTTTTTTTTTTTTTTAAGACGAACATTTTACATCATCCGGTTATGAAAAGCTCAGCTGTGATTGTAAACCGTGCGAAAGATCAGAAATGTGTTTTTGGGTTGGGATGGAAAAAAGTCCATTATCAGCACAGATGTTACATCCTTTTCAGCCACTCTCTGGGTGTTTGTGTGCATTAATGGCATGTCTTCGGTGGCGAGTGCGCATCTCACAGTTTATTGGCGCCGGCGGTGGCAGTGGCAGGTTCATTCAACACTCTGCTCCATTGTGTAGATCTGAAATGCCAGTAAGGTTTTACTGTTCAATTCGGTGATGTGGTAATATCGTAACCCTCCAGATGCCATATTGAATGAATTTTTTTGCTTGCAGATAAAATGTTAAGAGGAAATCTTTGTATTTTGACTTTAAACATGTAAAAAATTTTACGCTAGCCTTAAATTGAAAATGACCAAGTGTATTTTTTTTTTTTTTTTTTTTTTTGACATAATGTCAAGGTTTTGATTCAGAATTTCAGTGTCTTTGAAATGTAGTTCTTGTTACACGTGAAGATACCTGAAATAAAGATGCGCAGGTGTGTCGACCCTGTCTTCTCCTCGAAGGGGAGTGGCAAAGTCAGCAACCTAATGTTACTCTTAAGTTTCTAAACTGCAGTATTTGGTGCCATTCTCCTGGTTTAGTCTGAATCTGACAACAGACAAGGACAGGATAGGTGTGTATGAGGGATGTGTGTATGTGTGTGTGTGTGTGTGTGTGCGTGTGTGTGTGTACGTGTGTGTTGCATAGATTGAGCCCTGCTTCTAATGGAGTTGAAGATCTCATGGCTTTGTTCTCATCCTCTCTCCAACAGTCTCTTCTTTCCTGCTTACATGTAGTCTAAAAAAAAAAAAAAAAAAAAAAAAGAAAGGAAAAAAAAAAAGATTGGAGCAACTGAACAGATGACCGACAAAAACACTTTTGTCCAGGCAATAACTCATCAAGGCTGTAATATATTTGAATTTTTCCACCTCTTTTCAGTTTTTTCATTCTTTTCATTTGCTCTATTTTTGATCGTTTTTGGAGTTCAAAGCATGTTTCTCTTGATTATTTTTAATCAATAAAGAATGAGCATATCAGCCTCTTTTTAGCGCTTTCTGATTATTATTTCTTTTCAATGCACATCATTTTCTGTGATTTTAAATAAGTTGTTCCTGTAAATAAGTACCTGTTTATAAAATGAATGATACAGTGAGAACCAGTCACATCCATATACTGAACCTACTGTGCCAATTCTGACTTTACAGTATTGTCTTCTCCCTCGTCCTGTGTATTCTCTTGCTGTATCATTCTATTAGGAAAGTTGTTCATCTCAAATTGTGATTGTGATTTTACAGCTGTTTTATAGCTCTATTTGTTCCTCTGCTCTCACTGCCTTCAAGTTAATTATCCTCGCTATCTTTCATCATGACTACAATTATTCATTTACAACCCATTCATCCAGAGAAAGTCCATATAGCCACTTCCTGCTTTCTAAAGATTAAAGAGGCGCTCCAGCCGTTTAGTCATTTATTAATGCACTTTTAGGAAGTTGGGGGACATTTAAGAGACAGAATTTTTTTCAAATGATAAAACTTGGTGAAGCAGAGGGACAGATATCCTGACTTTTACTTCTTTTAGTTCCTGAGTAGTACTTGACGAATGATAAATGAACTATAAACTTCATATGTTTAAAAAAAAAAAAAAAACTTGGTTAGTATTGTGTTAGTATTAAAATTTCAATACTTCAAAACTCAGATTATCTTCATCAGGACTGTGTGGGTGTGATTTGATCAGATGTGATTGACAGTGAACAAACAGTGCACCATCAGTTCCAGTGTTGCTGAATCCTGATTGGTGCATGGAGGTACATGAGCTTGCGGTGGATATTGTGATTTAAAACGCTGGACACAAAGACAGAAATGAAAACACAGACACTGACTGACTAAAGATTAATAAAAAAAAAAAGAATAAGAATAATTATTGATTAATAAGCGGACGAGACTCACACTGAGTTGGCAGAGTAACCCTTTATAGAGCAAGAACTAGGGACAAGGAGGTGGACACGGATTGGTCACACAGATTGAGTGTTGAGCACAGACCCCAGGGCACTCCAGCATTACTCATAATCCCAGTGAGCCTGTGTTCTCTAGGAGTCATCTTTGCTGTCTTATCATGTGCATCTTATACACAGAGAAACAAAGGCTTTAACACTTTGACATACTTTGTCAGTCTTATCTCTATCACCTGCTTCCCTCTCCCGCAATTTCAGACTTTCAAGTTGCTGTCATCTCTTATCATAAACTTTCTTACTCCCACATTGAAAGAAGTTTGAGTCAGACTGAAACCTTATCATTTTTTATCCAAATAATACCTATTTTGAAATGAACTCCATAGTTTGTGTACTCGAGAGCTCTACTGTTCCAACTGTAAATAATCCTCCTTTTTCTCAGGAATTTGGACTCCAGGTTTGAAATTGTTCGAACTCCCAACGCGAGTCTTTACTTGGCGTATTCTGTACTGAGAAAGTCCTAACATGTTTCTAAATGATCCCCGCGCACTTAAAAACCAGTATCGGGTTTTCTACCATTGTAAGACATTGTCAAAGAGCTGATTGTGAAAATAGGTTTTCAAGGCCTTTAAATTTGTGGAGCTTCACTTTAACAATTCAACCACTTGGATCAAGTTACATCTCCTTACAACAAAGCACAAATGCGCCTGTAGAAAAGGTTCGTAGCTTCATGATGATTTTGGGAAAATAAAGAATCAGGTGTTTCAGGTATTTATTCTCAAATATTTTACTGTGTATATTGACATAAAGAGTAGATGAGATGTGCACCAACAATAAAAAACAAAATAGTACATCCAGGATGTTTTGTAACTGCGCCAAAAGGATTTCTGTAAGTGTTGTGTTTTCTACTTCTTGTGCTTTGCACTTCAAAGGTACTGTAGATAAAAAGGTTTCTGGCTCCACATTTGGGACCAATCGGAGAGGAGCTTCTGGTTTGGCGGTCGGGGGCCCAGTGTCCACTCAAATCAGACTTTGACTGATTCCTGATAAGACTTTTAGACCCGCAATCACAAGTTCACAATTCTGCAGACTTTGCTTTAGGGAATCACCCACAGTTATAGAGTTTTTTTGAAAATGGATGATACAGGGGAAATCATGATATCTAAAAGTTAGCTTTACAGCACATATAGTAGCAGCGGGTACTGTATATCTTTATTCTGTAGTTACGGGGGCAGGATCATCTAGATCTGTATTGATCTGATCTCTAATTACCTCCATAAAATTATCAACATTTTTTAAGTGACTATTATGACATAAGAACCTCAAACATACCTGTCCACAGAGAGCCATCCGACCATATAACGTTATTATACAAAGTGCTCCACCTAAAGCATTTTGAGCTCTTGCACCCTCTCGTGCTCACACATCTTTTGCTGAGCAGAAAGATGATGTTAAAGTCCAAAAGTCTTAATGCCGGGCCTGTGCCATAGATCTGAACAGCTGCACAACAGCTGGACTTCAGCCTGTCACATTTTAATACTTTGGTAGTCTGTTTGTTGGCAACTTTTGCGTGTCATAAAAGCATTGCGATTGTCAGTTTAACCATTAACTTGCAGGGTGACAGTCAGGTTGACTGCTGGTGGCTTGAGGCTGCTTTTAAGCTGGACATTACTCTGTCACTGCACTCTGAGGACATCAACATAGCATGAGCATGAGCAACTTTGGGCAGATCCTGAAGGAGATCGGGGAGTTCGGTTTATTTCAGAAACGTCTAGTGGCTGTATTATGTATCCCCAGCATTTTTGTCGCTTTCGATGTGATCGGTCAGGTTTTTGTTGGCATGAACTTCCCACATCACTGCAACACTGACTGGATCTTGGGCCGAGGACCCAACCTGACGGCTGAGAGACAACGAAATCTCACCATCCCCGTGAACAAGGATGGAAAGTATGAAAGCTGCGAAATGTTCACACCTGTGGATTTGGATTTGGAAACCATTGAGGCATACGGGATCAACACAACAACGGGATGCATAAATGGATCAGATTTTGAAGCAGCCAAAGGTGCCTTCAGCATTGTGACAGAGGTAAGAGAAACCCGCTGTCCCACTTTTTACAGTATCAGAACAGTAAAAAGCAGTGCCGGGCAAAAATGTGTGAACATCTCTTTTTGTACCACTTCATTTAATAAGAAATAATTCGTTTTCGTGGGAATGTCGATATAGCGGATAATCCATTTCATTAAGTGAAAAATCTAATGTTTGTTGTGCGGCTGCTGCACTGTGTTATCTGTGATTTGCTGACTTTCACTTTTAGTCCCTTCAGAGCCACCGTACTTATCTGATAGCATTTAGCAATGGCACTTGCGTCTTATCCTGGTTGAGGTACAGGCTGCTATTTAGCACTGGGTTTGATTCGTTAGTCTCTATTTATTTATCATTTTTAAACAGGAACTTAACTAGAAAAAACAAACAACAACAACAAGTGCACAAAATAACATCATAACATCAAGCACCCAATAATTTACAATAATTTACAACCAATTGTAATGCTAGGATGATGAAAAATAATAAACTAATTTACACCCATTCAACAGGAGCATGAAAACTATAAGCGCGCCCCGCTCTGTAGCAGCTGAATGATACAGAAAACTTCATTAGAAACAGGATTTAAAGACCTGGAAAATTTGGAAGCTGGAGTTAGGAGGAGATGATGGAGTCACCACCAATGTTAAGGTCAAGCTCTCCACCTAAACTTTTTTTTATTGATTTCTTTTTCTTTCCTGTAATCAGTTCGACCTGGTGTGTGACAGGAGCAGTCTGATCGAGGCATCGCAGTCCATCTACATGGCCGGTCTTCTGGTTGGAGCGTTTGTGTTGGGGCAGATGGCTGACAGGTGCTGACCGCCACTCTAATGCAACTGAGTATTAGAAATTGATTAAACTGGAAATTAATTGCAATTAAAAGCTAACAAGTAGAGTCACACTTGTTCAACTGTTCTGCTGTATCTGCAAATGCTCTTATTTTGGTAACATGACACAAAGAAATAAAGAGAAATATGAGTTTTATTTTTCTTTTGAAAGATGGCAAGTAGAGATTTTAAGGAAAATTAAATACAAACTAAAATTCATTAGGTGATATTTGAAGACTAGAAATGATCCTGCATTCAAATATAAACTATTCTGTACATAAGTGTATAATAGCTCTCTTCTTTTTATAGGTTTGGTCGACGCTTTGTGGTCCTGCTTTCACACCTTCTCCTACTGTTGTTTGGTGTCGGCGCTGCTTTCTCACCCAACATCTATGTTTATATAGTTCTCAAATTTTTAGCTGGCATCTCAATTTCTGGCATCATTGCTAATGCGTTTGTGATAGGTAGGTACAATGTTCTCAACTGAAACTTAATACCACAATATTTCATCAACCTCACTGGTGTAGTTTGTTGTACTGCCACCATGGGGTGCCAATGTCAAACATTTTTAAACTTGAAAGCCACTGATAGATCACAGGCTGATGATACAGTGAACTTAAAGTGGACGCCTGAACACAAGTCTGCGGAAAGTGCATTTGTGATTAGCATATATTTACAGTGGTACACTGTGCCCTAATGCACAGAGCATATGATGATATCATAAGTTATGTCTATATGCAAATTTGTACATTGAAAATAATCCTGTGGGACCTGAAGCTGTTGATCTGATCACATTTAACTGAAAGTCGCAGCAGTGCCTCGACTTACATTGCAGATGTGTTATGATCTGTGTTGCAGGTGTTCATGACAGAAGCATATGTGAACTAAACTTTATGGTTTTTTTTAGATGTTAAACCTGTACACACACTTAGTTAGCAGAAATGATGCCTTTTCTGTCTTATTATTATTGCTTTGAAGGTGGAGAATGGAGTGATTCTTCCAAGTTTGCTCTCTGCACCATTATCGGCCACACTTTTTCCCCTGTTGGAATGATGATGTTGTCTGGCATCGCCTTTTTGGTCCGTGACTGGAGGATCCTGCAGCTCGTGCTCTTCAGCCCCCTTGTCCTTGTCCTGGGAATCTTTTATTGGTCAGCAGCCTCATACGCCACAATAGATGCTTATTTCTAAAATTGTAACCACAGACAAAACAGAAGTATGGATTTTATTTTGTGATCATGGACCTATATGTCAACTAGGATTCTTCCAGAGTCGGCTCGCTGGCTCATCACCCAGGGCAGGAAGAAGGAGGCCGTGAAGGAGATCCGGAAGGCAGCTAAGGTGAATGGGAGGAAGGTCCCAGAAGACCTGCTGGACAAGGTGAGCAGCCTCAAACACACACACACAAACACAAAAGCACTGAAACAAATATACACTAACTCAAAATTACACCTAAATTATTTAGCTGGAGGTTGAGGGTACGTCCAAAAGAGGAAGCATGCTGGACATCTTCAGGATATCATATCTGAGAAAACGTGCTCTCGTAATGAGCTTCATTTGGTGAGTCTATTTCAACCACAACCTGCTGACATGTCTACACCCTTACCTTTGTGCTGGCACTGAAAATATCTCTCCCACTTAATAGGTTTGCAACAAGTTTGGTGTACTACGGACTGAGCCTGAACGTTGGCAATTTTGGTCTTGATATCTACCTCACGCAGTTCATCTTTGGCGCAGTAGAAATTCCCGCACGTCTGGGCAGTTTGCCTTTCCTCCAGCACTTTGGGAGGAGAATATGTCAGGCAGGGGTGTTATTTTTCGGAGGTGCTGCTTGTCTCGGATTACTTGCTATTCCAAAGGGTAATGTGTTACATAATAATAGGAATTTGTTGTAACTCTGGAACATATCTTTACCATGATTCCATGTATTTGTGTCTCAAATGTGTTTTTTCTCTGATTTATTACTTGTCCATCAGATCTTCCAGTAGTGGTAACAGTCATAGCTGTACTAGGAAAATTTGCTGCAACTGCCAGCTTCTCCACAGTCTATGTTTATACTGCAGAACTATATCCTACTGTTTTAAGGTAAGGTAGGTAATGTCCCAGAGGTAAAACGTAAAATATGTTATTATACATCATACTGGCAGAAAATGCCATGTTTGCTTGCTATGAGATTTCTGATGAGCCCATTGTCTTTACTGGTATAGGCAGAATGGTGTCGGTCTGAACTCCATGTGTGCTCGTGTGGCGGGCATCCTCGCTCCGCTGATCAGACTCCTGGACGTCTACCATCACACCATCCCCATGCTGATATACGGCATTGTCCCCCTTGCTGCTGGATGTTTGTGTTTACTGCTGCCTGAAACCCGCAATGCTGAACTCCAGGACCACGCTGAACTCCCGTGAGCTGATGAACCCTTTCATGACCGAGCACTTATTTCTCTTACAAGAAAATCAAAACAGTTGTATATAATAATCTATTTTTTTTATTTCAGGAAACCTGAGAATTGCACGGCGGAGACGGGATCCGTCACTAAAGAGGCCACATTAGGAAAGAGCACTAAAATGTAATTTATATGGACATGATTGTTTTTACAGTCTTTTTCATATCGGGAGGAGTAGTGTGCTTCCTCTCAGCTGATACAGTGGTAACGGTAATCTGTTAGTATGCAAAGTTTTAACTGAATCATGTTCATAACTGTCATTATGTTTCATATTTAATGTCAAAATTGTATTTTTTGTACAATATTGTTCTGTTAAAATCTTTTATCTGTTAAGAAATTGTTTTACTATTGCTGAAGTTGTAGACTATTTGATAACTGGAATTTGTATGAGTATTAAAAATGATATATCGTATATTTGCTATGCACTTGTTTTCTCCTCTCAGTTTAATTGCTGATCAATTAACTGTAGAGTATTTTGGAAAATGGGAATAAGAAGATATTTAGTTGTCACTTTTCTTCATTTTTGAGCTGATTGTGATTGTGTTTGTGATACTGTACAAGTAATCAGTCAGTAATTATCATTGGTAAAACAAGGTATTCTTTCTTATTTTATATTTGCAGTTTGTTAAATGTTTGTGTTTAGTGCATATTTGAGCTTTTTGAGCCCAACACACAACACATACTCATTGGCTACATCATGAAAACTCAGATGATTTCAAACACACCACCAGCTGACAGAACAGGCAAAAGCACTTCACTAGGTCCTTGATCAGAAGAATGTTTAGCAGACAGTCAGTACAGGCATTTTCTGACAGGTACAAACCCTTCCCGAATCTGCTCACGCTGTACATTTTCTGTGAGAGACTTTATGGTAAATGGCTATTTTATTTTTCTTGATCTAAACAGACTTTATGAGACTTCAGGGGTGTCTCTACATCCAAAAGAAAAACATGAGGCTAAATTTAAAAAAGGCCTTATTTTGAATATAAGCCCTTAAAGTTTAATATGAAAAATTAATGAAGTTGATGCAATGACTAGAAATAGCAAGACTAAGAGTCTACTGCTATGCTAGTGGCTCCGTCAGGCTGTACTTAGTTAGCTAAACGCTAACATTAGCATGCTAAAATGCTCACATTTACACTGATGCTGATGTTTAATGGGTATAATGTTTACCATGTTAGCATGCTAACACTTATGAACATGTTATTAGTTTTGCAAGTCATAAACCAAAGCATTGGGCAAATTTAAATGTTCACCTTCCTGTGGCTCAAGAGGAAAAGTTAGGGTTATTTCAATGCAATCAATGCAGTATTTCAGCCTGGACCAAAGAGGGGGACTGACTAACCAATATTGCCTTCCTTAAAGCCTGACTGTTTCACTGTTGGAGAACAACATAGTTGAACTAAAAACAGACAAACGTCCTCCTCTGGTCTCTTTGTAGGTTTGATTGACGATTTGCAATCCTACCTTACAGAGTTGTTTGCTTCTTTCTCATCCAACATCTACATTTGCATGGTTTTCATATTTCTCTAACACTGATGAACTGTTGTCATTAGGATGAACACAGTTGTCATGGTCAAGTCTCTATGTTGTTTTGACACTTCCATCCAATTCTGTCAAGAAACAGTCATAGCTGTAGTGAGGATATTTGCTCCCACTGCCTCTTTCAGCACATCCTAACCTATATTTATACTGATAAATTATAGCCTATACCCTTTTAAAGTAATGCCCTTCTTTTCTTACTAATGATTGAAACATAATAATCTATTTTATAGTTTACACACATTAAAATTCCATGTTAAATATTAAAAATTAGCATGAGATATCTGGTGAGTGCATTATGTGTTTTAAACTAAACTCCATGTGTGCTCGGGTGCATCCTCACTGTCTACCATTACACCATATGCTGATATATGGCATCATCCCCGTTGCTGCTGGAAGTTTCTGTTTACTGCTGTTGAAACCTGCAACACTGAATCTTCAGCACAACATCAAACTCAAGTGAGATGGTGAATCCTCCTGAACCCAGATTATGGAAAAAGTAGATGGATGAATCATTACTATAAATACACCTCCTGCACAAGGGACAGTACGTGTAGTTAAAATCAATTTAATTTTCAATTTTACATCTTTGTTATACTTGAATAAAATTTAAAAACCTGGTTTTCAATTTTACTTCATGTCCATTAAAAATGATTATGTACAATGTATGCAAACTAAAAAGCAATTCATTTAACAAATTGGAATGAATGAAGACAATTACATGTGTCAGCACCTGTCATACTTACGCTGCACAGTTTCTTACAATGATTAAGCCATTGTTGCAATTAAATTGTGAGTTATGTGTCAACACATTGTTAATCATTACCATTACATAAATGAACACACTGTAAAACTTGGACGGCAGTAGCATCACATGGTGCCTCAAACACATCTTCAAGAAGATTTTTCATGTTCTTACAGTCACCGTCCCATTAGCTGAGGAGAGAAACAGAACACAGTTTTAATCGAGAAAAGACACCGTAATGATTCATGATCGTGACAATAAATATACATAATGGAAATCAATTTTGCCTCACCCACTGGTACTCACATTTACACTGTATATTTATGCTTCAGATTCATCATGCACCACATCAGCAGTATTCCTGAGTAGCCACTGGTTCTTGTGTTGAGCATGTCCAAAGCCCTCATCATAATTCCCTTTTCTTCTGAACAGTTGTTGGTAGTGAAATATGCAGTAGAATTCCCCATGTAAAGGTGCATAATTGTGCATGCTACAAATGAACACAATATGTCAGTTACAGTACAAATTAATAACCATATTTGATTGGAGGAAGAAAGGGTATTTTTGTGGTTATCGTAGCTGTGAGATTGATTTAGAGATCATTGGATTTACAATTTTGTAAATTTATCATGTAGATTTCATTTAATTTCATTTGGCATTGTCTATAGTTCCTTTGAAGTTCAAATTGTCTTTAAACCCAAACTTACTTTTTACTTATTATAGCACAAAAAGCACAGGTGGAACTAATGAAATTAAAGGTGCAACGTGTAAGTATTTTAGTTTAAGACATTCAAAAATTAACAAAATTTATCAACAAATTGTTGACATGTTATGTCAAAGATGTTTATATGTATACATGTATGTATACAGAGATATCTACTGAAGTTTGCATGATAACCAGCTAACCCTGGCTCGTCTCGTGATACCACTTTGTACCTCAAGAGGTGATAGTGAGGCACTGTAGTGAACGGTCTGCCCTCAGTATAACATGAGAGGATGAAGAAGTAGTGCTGTCCATAGGACAAGAAACTGAGACATGTTCAGCAGCAAAGAAAATAGTGATAGAAATAGAAGCAAAACAACAGTTAGCATTAGCATTGCTATCAACCACGGGAGACGGCCCTTGGCGAGTACAGGAATTAAGTTTGATGCTGAACTCACAATGTTTCCTCTAGGCTGGTAAGTAAACAACTGTTAATGCTAACATTGGCTATGTAGCGATATCAAATACTTACATACAGCACCTTTAATGATGGCTCTTTTCCAGCAGTTAACAGTTAACGATGTCATTGCTTATACCTGTGGTTAACAACTCAAAATCTCTCTTGTGAAAGTTGGACTGTTATTTCAATCTGTTAAATTCTCTGTAAAAAGCATGTCTTCTGGTGAATTTAATCAATCAATCAACCAATAAATTAATTAATCAGTTAAATATTTTGAGTCTGTAGTAGCTATTGGCCCAAATATAAAATGATATTTCTTGTAATTGTGTTCTTTTACAACAGCAGATGCTCTCCATGGATGGAGTGTGTCCATAACTTGTTGTTGCATTATTTAGCTCTATGTTGCTAGCCTAGCAAGTTTTACCCATCCACTCGTTGCACACCTGCTTAAGTTAACCAACTGCAAAAGTGTCAGGTCTAACCCACAGGAGTTATCTCCCAGCTGTGCTAAGCTGTCTCAAAGATGCTAACAGTAAGAAAACATCGTTTGTTTCAAAGGTCCTGCTTCAGAGAGCTTTCTTGGAAAAGTGTTTGAATATAGGACTTAAAAACAGAGTGAGGTCAGGAATGAAAAAAGTTACATATTTACTTTAATTGATTTACCATATTTTATAATGATACCTTGATGACGCATTTAAAAATATGTTAGCATTAAATATGGAATTAGGGATGTCACGAATGTCAAGGACGCATGTAGGAGTGAAGCATCTGAACTTATAGAACAGCTTTGGTAGTAACGGGACTGTGCCGAGCGTTAGGATTGGCTGGGGGTTTTAAGGAAGTAAAGGTAAACTAAAGGCACGGTCAAGTTGTGTAGACTGTTCACGTGTTGTCTGACCCGCAGTGTTTCTCAGTAAACGACTAACTGTAACTGAAAACAGGCTCTGGTATCTGACAACGAGAACCGATAGGCCTGTTTCGGTACCAAGGCAGTGCTATAATTCTGACAATATGATGTCTGCAGTAGGTACAGAAGGGTGATATAGATGATCATATGTACTCTCTATTCTTCCAGGACTGTGGAGAGCAGTATAATAACCCCCACGAGCGGTGTAGTCTGACATCAAACTCAAAAGAGAAGGAGAAGACAGGCACAGTAAACATTAACTACAACACGTGGGATGGCAGCAGCAAGTGATGCATGGTGAGTGGGTTTCAGTTATGAACATTATATTAACAACACGTGTTAAAATGTTCACGTCCTGGCATGTTACTCCGGTTGTTTGTGAATTGAGACAGCATCTGTTGCAAGGCTCCACACAAAACTTTCACAATAGCTTGTTTAGGCTCACAACATCAGCAGGCTACAGCCGTTACCGTTCAGTGTGTCAAAATATATTACTGACTTTTTAAATGAATATTTTTACACCATTTGAGGTGTGTGCATGTGCGCGTGTGCAGCAGCCTCTGTTGTTTCCTGTTTTTTGCTGAGGTGTCAAATTTGATATTCAGAGTTGTGGAATTGCATTGGTATTGGTTCAGACTCCCAAAGGTCTGACATCATGACATCCCTACATGGAATAATTGTTCTTTTCTTTATCTTTTTTTTCTCACAGTTGTTGCATAGGGGGGAGGTCAGATTGCAAACAGGTCTATCTTATATTTAGGCCAATATGAAATTTATCAGTGTGGAAGGGACAAACGAGAAATGAGTCGAATATTGAGAATCATTTATATGTATTGCAGGTGATTTTCCTGTAGTATGCTGTAATATCTCACCTTAGTTTTTTCTTGCAGTGTTTACAACAGAAGCAATTTTTGTGAAAAATGTATTTGTCTGCAGTTATTTTTTCCATTGGATAAACTGGCTTCAGACAGGCAGAGCACATCTCTTGACCAGTTGGTTGAAACTGATGAGAAAAGTTAGATTTTAAGCTTGATTAAACCAAAAAGATGTTTTTTTTTATAATAATCATCATTAATAACAACAAACACAAAGACATGAATTAAAACCAAAAATGTGTATTTAATTTCAATTATAAGTCAAAAACCGTTTTTTAAGAATATAAGCTGAAAAAAAAATCCTCAAACATAAATAATATCTCAAATCAATGACAACCTCTTACAAATAAAGAAACCAGCAATGATAAACAATGTAATTTATATCTTAGCCAATAAAATTATTTACATGACAACTTTGCCATAAAGAATATGAAAAACATTGCCCTATACAGTGACCAACTGCATCCTGACATGTGAATGATCTAAGGTTTCTGATTGATCGGCAGCCGAACTTCTGGGTATGTTGTGACCTGACATGTAGCCGGGCTGACCACTGCCTGACATGTGGATGATGTCGTTGTCTCTGGCTGAGTAGTGACAACAGTGGAGGTTTTGGATGAGTAAAACCGATTACCAAAGTTATCGGTCCGCTCATAGTTCTCTGTGACTGTTTTGGTTCCTTTAATACTGTTTCCATCACGGTCAGTCTGCACCTCAAGTACACTAAGCTCTCGTTGAGGATGAAGTGGACTGCAAGTGGATTGTTTTTGACCTCCTTTTCTGGGGTCCCTCTTTCTGTTTTGAGCAGGGCTGTTGCATGTCAGGGTCTTTGTTGTCCGGAATTTCTCCTCCGTCTTTGGGCTTTGCTGACATGTTGGACAGATTGTGGTCTCTGGTGGCGCCACATCTATTTTATCCGTCTTTCTAGCAGCTGACTGTATGGAGATGAAGGCAGGTGAAGATGTGGGACTTGCTCGTTGTTTTGCAGAGGCTACTTCATCGCTTGCACCTTGCCCAGCTTGGAGAGCTGTGTTTCCCGTTATGGTAGCACTTTCCTGTGTCTGTAGTGATTTTGTTCTGCTTGACCCGATGCTAATTTTGCTAATATTACCAGAGGATGGGGATCCTTGCGCTGCCCCTAAGGACTCTTTGAACAGGCATGATAAACCAACAATATCTGAGTCAGATTTCAATGTAGAGACAGAATAAAGAGCCTTCTTTATGGCTTCCTCTATGTCCATAAGTCTGGCCAATGTCTGCTCTTTTAGATTCATGATTTCCTCACTGGCTCTCTCAAGATCTCCAAAAACATGTGCCATTGAGGACTTACTTTCAGGGTGATCCTTCAAATGTGACTTTTCCTCTCTGTGTTCCACTTCTACCTTTTTTTGTTTCATTTTGTTGGAGCTGACAACCCAGTCAGGGACGTTCTCAAATACTCCCCTCAGAGACCTCACATCAACCTCGCTTGTGTCCTGTTCAATTTCCTCAACTCGACCGAGAATGCTCTGCAGTTCCTCCTGTTTTCGCAAGTTGTCAAAAATTTCCATGGCTGCTGTTATGTTCCCTCTCATGATCTCATCCATGTGAACTGACAGCCGCTGTCGGCGCTCGTCCTCTGTCTCGGTTCGTCCTTTTTTTCCCCTCATCTCAACTTTGCTTTCTTGTATCGTTTCTCTCTTGTGGTTGTCTTTGCTGTCAGCAGTTTGTCCACTGGTGTTTGCACCATTGTAAGATGGACCAGTTATGGTCTGTTGCGGTTTTGAATCTGCATGTGTGAAAATAGTAGAATTATTATCTCCAGATGTATCTTGTGGGTTTTTGTTGTCAGGCTGGGCAATTTTTACTCTCTTTGGCTTTACAGGGGCATTCTTCACTGAAAATGCCTTTTTACCTCCAAATTTCTGGCATGCTTCATGAAAATCTACATGACTTTCATCTGTTTCATTCATATTCTCGCTGACAGGGGTTTTTTCCAGGGGTTTTTCCGCTCTTGCTGTGGGATTTTTCTCTTCTGGACGATTAAAAGTATTCTTGTCTGTGTTATCGATTGAGCCTTGTACTTGATCTCTTATTTGAATTTTCTGAGACACCTGAATAATTTCACCTTTATGATCTGCTGAATATGGCCCTGAGTCTGCACCACTGTTCGTTTTGGGCAGGTCTTTCATATGTTCATCCTTACACGACACTGATGTTGTCAGTGGTTGAGCAACAGTTTCTTCTTTGGATTGCTTTTTCATTTCAGGTCTTATATTTTTTGTTTGGGTTGCCTCAGGATTCTTTGTGTTGGTTGATTGATTATCTCTTTGTTTTGCTTTCAGATGCTCCGGTTTAGGTGGGAGGGTGGGCTTTGGACCAACAGGTCTTTTGCTTTTCTCTGGTACAATACTTGTAGCTGGTTTATTTAGGGCTGCAGTCACCTCTTCCTTGGAGATCTCTTGTCTCAATGGCACTTGAGTTGATTTAGATTCAGTCGAAGGACAAAACTCCTCAATAATGGGGTTTTGAACAGCTGCCACATCCACATTTTGTGATCTTTCTTTGGGATTTTTGGAAGAGTTTCTATATATCATAGCTGCTTTGAAATCTCCCCTTGTGACATTAATGTTGGATCTCCCCAAGGAGTCCAAAGCTGCCTGAAGTTTACCCTGAAAAACAACTTCCTCTTCCTCTTGTTGTGCAGGTGATGTTTCTGAATTATCAACCACAGCCTCACAGTGTTTCTGGACCACATCCATGTCTTTTTGATCCTTTTTAATGCATGTCTCAGTAGTTTGCAGTTTGTTAGAATTAATGTCTGCATGGCATGTCTCTGTATTTGCATATTGGCGGTCTGATTTATATCCGGATGTGACGTTGGATGGAACTTGATCCCACCTTGGCTCAGTGCATGAGTCCACTTTTTGGTCCTCATTTTCTTGATGTGATCCTGCTTCTGTTCTTGAGTGTTTGACATCACATGCTGTAACTGAAACAACAGGTTCCTGGGAAGATTGATTCTTGATTTGTGATGAATCATACAGTGATTTGGCCTCGATTGTGGCCTGTTGGAGGCTGTGGATTGCAGTTTGGAGGTTTGAGATTTCGTCATTGTCATCTACCACCCGAACTAATTCAGCCTGGTGGACCCTGTCATCATCCCGTGTCTCAAGATGTTGAAAAGACTCTTGTGGTTCAATTGTGAAGTTACACACTTTCTCTTGTGCTTGGCCCCCACACTCCAAAAAGGTATTTTTACTTTGCCCATGGTTGAATACCCCAACGTTGCATTCTTTAGAGGACTGGCTCTTTCCAAGTGGCACAGTTTGACCTGTAAATGCATGAGAAATGGTGGTAGATTGGGCACGGTTTTTATGAATATTTTGCTTTTCTTGGTTTTGTCTTTGTTCTCCAGAGAACATGCTTTTCAGTTTCTTTACATCCACTGGTATCCACTCTGAACTTTCCTCTGATTGATCTCCTCTCAGTTCCTGATCAAGCTTTGTGCTTTGTTCAGCCACAGTTTGGCTCGGAGTGACTTCTTCTTCTTCCATTGTTGGCTCAGCCTGAAGAGTTTTCAAATATTCCAGATCTCCCTTTTCAATACAGCTCCTGAACAGTTTCACATTCCCTTTTACTGTGACTTCAGGCCTGGTTGATCCTGTGCAGGTTTGGTCTTGAGACGTTTCTAGAAGGCAGTTTATGGTTGATTCGATAATGCCTTTTCTTAGTCCTTGATTTTCTGTTTTAGTAATATCAGTTTTCTCTGTTTCTGGTTCATCATACTCCACAGCATGCCCTTGTGGAGCACTGTAACCTTTCACATCTTCCTCATCAAAATAGTTGTAGAGGGAGTAAACAATGACTTCAGCGCATTTGTTGGCATCCTCCTGAATGATCACTCCTTTCCTCAGAGAGTTATCTTGATTGAGAATATCCTCAACAAGCTGAACGACATTGGCGGTTTTGACCTCTGTGTCTTGGCTGGTAGTGAACTGACGCTGGTGCACAGGTACATTCACCACTGTGGCCTCCATAATTCCTTTACTATCCTCCTTTAAGTAAGTGATCTTAGGCTTTAGGTGGGCCCGTGGTAGCAACTGGACTATGAAGTTTTGTGCACCGCCTTCAGCCACCTCATCATATTTGATCTCAGGCCCACTCTCTGATAGTGTGAATTTAGCCCTTTTAGCAATCATTGTCTCATTCACTTCGATGATCGAGCCATCTGAATGTACAGCATTAACACGATAAAGGGTATTCAGTGTTTCCTTGATGTTCTCTACCAACGTCTCAATTTCATCCTTGTTCTGATGCCTAATTTTGTCAAATGGCATTGATTCAAACAGATAGGCTCTGTTTTTGACATTAGTTATTAGACAGTCCTCAGCAGCCCCACTGGGACTAGCTGGGATCTGGGATATTGATGCATGAACACAGGAATTTTCTCTTTCTATGTTTGTTGTGATGAACGGGTTGTTTTTGAGAAGAGCTGCACTTGTTTTAATAATTTCCTCTGATTCTTCTGCACCTGAAAGACTTGAAGGGTTGTCCTCAAAGGCTGCTTCACCAGAAAAAACCTCTTCCCCGCCAGGAAACTTACTTTGAGTGCTTTGCCCAACAACATGAACAAATGGACCTTGTTTATGGGGCCGATCTGTCAAACCAAGACTTTTGGTGCATGCGTTGCTTTTATTTTCACTGTGTAGACTTTCTTTGCTACACATTTCCAACTCGTGTTTTCGTTTTTGGACTGACCCTGTCTCATCTCCGCAAATAGAAACTTTCCCTTGCAACTTATTATCTGGATTTGACCTTGATGTTTTCAGAGACTGACTCTCAAATACCCTCCTGGTAGCATGGACATCTATTCTTATCATCTCCTCATCACACTCTCTGTTAGGTTCTGGACTAGAACCAAGGGTTTTGTCATCCTCCGCAAATTCTTTAACGCTTTCATTACATGGCCTCTGCCCTTGCTCCTCAAACACTGCTGACGTTTTACTGACATCACCTCCATCCACTGCTCCATCTGCCATGTGAATCTTGGGGGTGTAATGAGAATTTTTGTTACTCAAGGCACAGTTCTCAAATATCAAGCATCTTGAGAGGACCTCTCCCTCGTATCCAGTTTCACCAGCTGTCACCCCAGTCTCTGAGCTCAAAACCTCAGCGAGCTCCTCGTCCACAACTTCATCCAGCATCTTCAGCTCTGGGTGGGTGTGCTTCAGGAGTCTTCTCAGCTCACATTTCTGCCGCTGCTGGTATAACTCTTCTTTGGAAAGCTGGGCAGGCATGGATTGTTGCAAATGTGCACCAGAGATGTCTTCTGGTCCTGACTGATGTCCGGCTAAACGAGGAGGAGGAAGGTCATCTTTCCTTTGTTGGGAGTCTTCGGCCATCTTAGAAGAACAAAGTAATGTTCTCATCATTGAGTCCTTTGTAACAGAAACGAGCTATCCAGTGAAATTCATGCTCCAGAGTGGTCACACGTGCAACAAGAGCCATATGTTACCTTCCAAATCATGCCAGTTGATTTGCTTTCCACACACCAGGTGTCAGTGGGTTAGTTGAACTCCAAAGCAACCAGCAAATGCAACCACAATGATGGATTAAAATATATAATATGTAGAGTGAATGGCATCCAATATCTGTTTCTTTGTTTTGAAGAAAAGCAGTCATATTTTTGGGTCTTAAAATATAGAGAATATGATAATGAAGAAGATGTTTATGTTATTGCGACAATGCAAATTCAACGCACGCCATCATGCAAAAATGTCCGGTGAAATTCTACCTTACCTTGGTTAGTTTAACTCTTTTCTCAGGTTCAGATGACTGATCTTGTGCCTGGATGGAAGCAATAATTATTTCAGCTCAAGTTAACCTTTAGTAATCAATGTCTTCTTGACTGACAGAATTTGCTCACTAATCATTACATGATATAGTTTAGTGTTATGTTGTGGGATTTGTCATGTGACTGTCAAAAATAAATTCTACAACATTTACTACGTGGAAGATGTTGCCATATTGGGTGTACTGTGTTGCATTGCACTGTGGCTGCATTTGTAATATCTGCAATGCAATCTCATAATTTAATGCACAAACATAACAGAACATTATAATGCATAAGATGTAGCTGCTAAAATACATTTGTAGTTCCCCTCTTTTTGTCATGCTAGATTGTGAAAATATCATATAGCTGAGATAATGCTAATTAGGTTAGGGTTACAAACAATTCTACACATTAAAGAACAGTTTTCCTGATATGAACTCTGACTTCTACAACTTCTTCTACAACACCAAGACCATTAATGAATGAATAATGAGTAGAGAAATGTTTACCGCTCTCAAAAGACTGCGTGTTTGCTCCTGAGGTGCGGCCTTTGACAGATAGAGGGCAGACATAGCTTTGACCGAGACACACAGTTTCTCCTTGGTTTGGACGAAGGAGCTGTCTCTGAAGTCTGCAATCGACCTCCTCTTTTCATCTGCAAGGATATCAGACACGGCAGTTCTAATGTGTTAAATTAGTTTTTTTTGAATATCTGACATCCTTGTTGACAATGGTATCAAGTAAACGCTGTGATATAAATGTGCCATCGAATTTATCAGATGGCATCTGGAGTAAAGAGAAAAGTAGTTGTAATTTAGTGCAGCTTTGTTTACTGGTTAGCATTAGGTGTCAAAATAAAGCGCCGCCACAACATCGTGTGACTGAGAGAAAGGCGATTTCAACAAAATTTAAAGTGACTCATTTTAATAGCATGCAAGTGACACCTATGTTCCCATCCATGTCCCCAAACAAGTGGGTTAACAGTTATGAGTTTTGAGTCACTTGCAGTCACTCTTTCTAAGCTGATATTTAACAGCTGCCGTGTGGTCGAGTTATAAATGTACCACTTGTGTGTGGAGCGGCACAGATACCTGACTCCGCTGACACACATACTGAGAGTTAAAAGGACAGACACAGTCACCGCAGCCACAGTTGACTAAGCATAGAAAAGTAAACACATAACACGTCTTAGCATCGCTCATAAAGGCACAGATAGTAAATGAGTATTCAACCGGCAGCTGCCAGTAAAGGGAAACACGGCACACCAGAAACAGGGATTTGAGTATAAAGCAAGAAGTCTTTAGGATAAGGCTTTGGTGAAAGTTTGCCTGAACCATTTAGATCAGCCTGTAGTGATTTTGAAAGCGTCAACACTCTAGTATTTCCACATTCACATAGCGGTGAAAATTATCAGTCATAAGTGCAATTATCTGTGTCAATATATACTGTAGTTATTCAACTTTATGGCTTTAAAAGGAAGTTTTAAAGTTAGACCATGTGCAAGCCATGTGACATGCAGATAACGTTTGTAATCAGCTGACACACAGATTATTCTCCAGTTGGACTCATTCGGTCAAAATGCAGAATCTGTACTCACAGAAAATGAGCAGCCTCCAATTCCTTGCGCCCTTGCCTTTCTTCTTATTTCCCTTTAAGTGTGTGTGAATGTGTTTTGGTCTAAGTGATGTCGCTGCTGTAGGTTTGTGTCCGGTAACGCAGCCTCTGCCACTTTCAGTCGCTCCCTCTCCCCCATCTGACAGCTGACCCCTTTCACCCTCCTGCACTTATTCAGGACTTGTAGCGTGCCGGCTATTTCCGTCCTGCTCTGGAGTGGCCTGCTATGCCCGCACCAGGTTGAGTCAATCACGGCTTCTTGCAAAGTCACGGTGCTGATATTCATCTCCATTTCATCTCTTCCCTTTCATTCGCACCGTCCACAGCTTTGACCTGAGTCACAGATCCGGGAGAGACGGCTTCCCAGGGAATGTTGTCAGACACTGAATTCGGCTTAAAAGGGGGAAGCTAGACATTTCTCATATGTGCTGAATTGGATGCTTGCCTATGGAGTAATTTTTACATTTTTGCATGTTTAGCTTACCAGCTGTACACAGACTATATAAATTTGAATTAATTAATTGGAAATATACTAGTTGAACATGGCTTCTGTCTTCTAATTAGTATAATTCGAACCAAATTAAATAGTTAATTTTCCTGGGAAATTAGAGACAAAGTTTCTCGTGGAACTTTTTATTCTGTTGTGTTTGTGTTACTCTGCCAGCGTGTCTGTTAATACATGCAGAGTGTCCTTTCGCAGTAGTATCTGAATGTTTTTTAGGCCTTGACGAGGACATGATGGTGATGATCACTTGCTCTTATCAACTGGTTCTGGAAGTGTGTATGTTGAGTTCATTTGTAGATGTTTCTATTATTGTCATATGTAGTATATGACTGGGCTTTTCATTATTTGTTTTGTTAGGTTTTTGAAATTGTTAACTGTGGCTGCCATCTAATGTCACATCACCAAACATTATGAAGTTTTAATCTCAGTTCTACTGATAACTGCTCCACAGCGAGATCCTTCTTTGACTTTACAAATGCCCATCTATCATGTGCAGTTAAACTTTCAACCCTTCATTCTTTCCCCAGCTTTACCGGGCAGTAGGTAGGGGAACGATGTGATCAGGCTGGCGGGTCATCACAGAACAAACCGAGATGAATGTTTTTTTGACCTAGAAGGAAATAACGTTGTACTCACCGGCTTGAGAGGCTGCAAGTTCCTCGAAATCAATACCCCCTATTGTTTTTCTCCTCTCTCTCTGGGTCTGATTCACCACCTTGAGAGAGAAACAATGAGTAGACGTACAGTGTATCTTTCTATGTGACAGAATGCAGCCTTGATTCTGATTTTGGAAGTAAAATGATACATGATGGATTTGATTGATCAGTCAATCAACTGACTTGCGCGGAGGTTCCTTCATACACAGATTAGCACTAGATGACAACTGAATGTTGAATACAAGTCACTGATGTTTTCTGGTGCTTGTTTACATCAGTAATATTTGTAAAAACTGGAGTCCAAGTCAATATTTTCTATTGTGATCAGTTGAGAAATACAAATTTCTGTCTTCACTTATTAAACCTCGCCATAAAATTTGTCCTGTATGGTAAAACCAGTCATTTTATTTACCTTTCGGGTCACTCGATCCTCTTTTGCATCAGTTTCCTTTACCGGCGCATCAGCTGGAGGTTTTGTCTGGTCCTCTGCAGACCTCTTCACCTCCTCGCTCTCCCCATTCATCACTGGCCTGAAGTCTGCCGCCTTGTAAGGCGACGTGAAGTCTGCAGCTCTGAAGCCGCTCCTCACCTTGTCTTGTGCGCTAGCCTTTGACTCGAACAGAGCCTTCAGGGCCCCTATGGAGCCGGCGCTGCTGTGAAGGCTCCCCATCGACTTACTGCGCTTTAAGCCGGTTTCGGCTCGAGACCCTTCCCTCTCGTCATTTCTCCTCATCAGAGACACCAGACGAGTCTCTTTAACCTCCACAAGAGATGGTGATATCTGATACACAGTGATACACAGAAGAAAAACAAAAAACAAACATGTTTTCCTGCAGCTGCATTGATAACCCCCCCCCCCCACACACACACACACACACACACACACACATGCTTTGTTTGTGAATTGTGCAAACAGCTAAAAAAAAAAAATATATATATATATATATCTTACCTCTTTCAACACTTGCTTTGGCATCACTTCACCATTCTTGACCGGGGTTGATCGAATCGATGCGCTCACTTCCGCTGTAGTTTGATACCTGTTATGCACACAACAGCCATGTTATATTAATAATCCACCAGCGTTCGAGTGCTGCACGTAGAAGCTTGCAGAGAGTGTGGTCAGCTGTCGCCACACACTTAGGAAGAGATGATGTTTTCTTTTCACCTTGCGACTAGTAAGGACACAGATGCTTTCTTGTCCCACAGTCCTGCCTCCGTCCAGGTGGGCTTGTCACATGACGAGGCGACGCTCTTCAGTGACTGGGTGCGCCGCAGGTTACTCTTCCATTCCATGGCAAAGTGGCAAATCGCGTCACGGGCAGAGCAGAGTGTTTGCAAATAACTGTATGACCTAAAAACACATGGCGAATAATCGATGACGTTATCTCCGTTATTGCAACACATTGGATCTGCAGGCTCTGGGTGACATATTCTATTTATTCCTTAAGCCCAGCAATGAATCGCCCCCCACCCCACCCATCGCCTCAACACCAATAGTGAACATTTTATCTACTCATAAAGCTAAACGTTTTCCCATTAACTCCATAGAAATCCAAGGTTATAACATCAATAATGCAGAGCTGGGAACGAGTGAGATATAGCAATGTACAGTGATTTGGAAGATGTTATACAATTTAACAGCAATGCAAAAGTAATAACTAGACATCATTTATATTCTGTGTGAATGAGGGGAAAGAAAGAGTTTTTAAACTGAATAGTTACCTCACAGATGTCAGTCAGCGTCTGCTCTCGTGTGACGATCAGAAGCAGATCTGCAGCATCACAAGACTTGCACAAGATATGAGCAAAGTCCTTTTTCTTCCTCATTACCACAGACTGTAAAGTGATTTAGGAATATGTCGAGAGTAGCAAACAGACACTGCAAACACTGGTTAGTAATACAGACTTTAATCTGAAACACTGGTGTTGTCAGTTCAGAAAACATTTATCCAATATTGGGCATCTTTAGTACTTATTGTGTGTTTTGGCCTCTACACGAGTTTTCAGGAGATGCCTCGGTGTTTGACGTCAGGTTAAACCTCCAAAGCTCAGATGTAATTACTCGATCTTTGGGCAGCAACAGACCATGCATTAAGATGAAATGAGATTAACTTTATTGATCCTGAGGGGAAGTTGGGTCATTACAGCAGCAGAGTGTGGAACGTAGACAAAGAACAACAAATGGAAAATGAGGAGAATTACCTGTTGCGTTGAGGGTGTTTTGCGTGGGCTGAGTTTTGACAGATACTGATTAACAGAGGTTGTCAGGTTACACATTGACAATGCAGCATAAAAAAAACACATGAACACAAAATTACATTTACAGTGTAAATGCTGAATGTGCATTGCTGTATTTTTTATCTGTAGCATTTCAAAAGAAAAATGCTTCAGTTATTTTAGAGAACTGTGTCGATGAAAGGCGTAATTCATTTCTAAATGTTGGTTAATAATCACATGTAACTAGATTATACACTGCAGTATGCATCACAAAAAAAGTTTAAATCTAGCACCAAGTTATTGTTGAAAAGATGTGTTATGCACGAGGTTGTAATGCCAAAATTTCTTCCTAGCACTTCACACAGAACCATGTGGGTGCGTCAACTGGAACAGGTTTACATTATAAATGTTGCTCATCCTTGCTTCAGTACAAAACAGCATCCATACAGAGGCCCTAGTGATTCAGTGTGTCCAGTACGGTGGATGCAGCAACATCACCACTATCAGTTTTGTGCACTTTTCTCATCATTGCTACCAAACAAACAAAGAAAATGACTTTAATGACACACTTTAATGGAAATGTTGAAAACTGCTTGATGGCAGAAATTTGAAGATAAAAAGTGTTGTGATCAGCGCAGCCCTCTGTTAAGCCTGTGCCTGTGTTTGGATGCCTTATTATCAAAATAACCTGAAAAATAATTTGTTTTTTACTGTTCTTTTTAAAGGTTTTAAGTTCTTAAATTAGATTTCAACTGGCAGGGGTTAAGTAGTCCTAGAAAACCTGCTGAGAACAAGTGTTGTAGATGTTCGTCTCCACCCAGGAATTCCAAGACTTCCTGACCCTCAGGGGGTCAAGAAGTAAGAACAGGAGGAAGCTCTGCTCCCGCGTGATCTCGCTGACGACACCGACACCGACCCCGAGCAGACTTCCCCTGACACACACTGCAACAGAACTGCAGTCATCGGAGAAATGTATAGGCCACGAGAGTAAACTGTAAAACGCAACTTCCATGTTTGTTAGAAGTAAACACACCGTACTCGTCACATTATTGCATGGTTTAATCATAGTGAATATGTTTTGTTTTGTTTTTTTTCTTATGTGAAATTACATTTTTGATTATAAGAATTCAAATAAGATGTGAAATCAATTTGCTTAAAGCTCTTTAAACTGTTGTGGACATAGAAGAAACTAAGTCAATGTATGGACACATGCAGATACAGCACAGAAGTTACATGTGCTTAAAGCTGCATTAATTGAGCTTTCTGGCCACTTGGGGGCAGTGGAACATGCTCAAAATTGACACTATTGCCTTACAATGTTGTTATTTAGTATTTCTATTCTGTTAAACACAATACTTTTATTAGTATTTACCAGCATTCAGTGCTACTTTTTAAAATGTATTTTTTTCTCAACTGCATAAAGGCTGTAGTCCCAAGTTAGCAGTCACTAGTTATTTTAGATTTTAAGACATTAAGCTTTTACTTTCAAACATGAGATAAGATCATAAAATATTAAAAACAGTATAATAAGTGGTTAGAGCGAATGCCACCACAACCAGCTAAAACATTAATAGCATTACAATATTTAAAGGAGCCTTTCTTCATGAGGACTCATTTTACTCGTGATGCTTGAGTTCAGTTTACTTTTATTTTGAATGCATGCACTTTTACTTGCGCCGGAGTATTTTTACATTGTGGTATTTGTGTTTTTACGCAATCTGAACACATCTTTGTCGTGCCTGTTATCTGGGTTTCCCTCCATTTCACACACTTGTAAAAATGCAGCAGAGGGTTTGAGACAATGACGGCTTTTGTCAGTGCACACAATTCATATTCACTCACTTTAGTCATGCTTTCTGTTAATCAGTCTTCAGACAAAGAAAGAGCAACAGCAGCAGCACACACCCCTGGGGCAAAAAATGAGAGATTCAGCCTGGCTGTCTCTCCACCCCCCCACCCCCTTCTCCATGCCCCTCCTTTGACTACAACCCTCATCCCTCCCTTCAAAACCCCACTCCTGTCTCTGTCTCAGAGGCACTGGAGAGATGAAAGGGAATATGCAATGCGCCGCCTTTGACTGTGAACTGTGCAGTGTTATTAGGGGAAGTTTACTGGCCTTGTCTGCGTTTTAAACACACTTGCTTACACCAGCCAGCTGTAAACAAGGAGGATCTGTGGCCGGGTGTGAAGGGGGGGGGGGCTCAAATACCTGAAGAAAACACTGCGTGGCTGAGGAAGGCGCAGATTCACTCGCGGACACATCTGGACTGTCCTCCCTGTGTCTTCAGTGTGACTACCTTTTCTTGAATGAACGAAAATAACTACGAGAGCAGATTGGCCTTTCATATTGTTCTTGCCTGACATTATCAGGGAGTCCAGTAGGGGGCGGTAAAGACCGTTAAAACACAATGCTCTGTATTGTCTTACCCACATTTGGGCTATGTGGGAAACTTTACAGTGGGGCTATTCAAGGCCAAACTAGGTTATTTCAGTGCACCAAAATAAAATGTACAGCGGTGAGCACAGAGACCAGATAGTTGAGCAAGATATGGTCATTTCTGTGACGCACACGTTAGCATATTTTACCACAGATAGCGATATCAATTCATACTCATCATGTATTAGAGAAATATTCTGTTATCACAAAGTGTTAAACTTCTGTTACCTCACTTAACCCTGCTGCAGTCAAATATTTTTATTTATTTATTTATTTATTTTTTTAAGTCTTCATTTGTACAGCATCCTGTGCGCATCACAGGAAGGGCAATCTGAGGTCTGCAGTGCTTTACAGAGCCTGTGAGACTGGTTGGATGTCCTGCTTTCGCATGCGACACATGCGAACGCGCCTCACTCGGCCAGCCGTCATGAGTCTACTTCAGATGGATAATATGCGTGCATCACAACACACAGGGCAGGCAGAGTGTGTGTGACTCAGCAGTGGTGTGTGTGTGTGTGTGTGTGCATATGATTCATGCTGCTGCTACTAGTGATACTGCCCAACATGTAATTGAAGTAATCTGCTTGGTGTTCATTCAGAGCCTTTTCAGAAAAACAGGCTTGTCATTTGTGAATGTGGGAAAAAACACATGTTTATCTTTTTTCTTTTTTTTTTTATTCAAAATGTTTTGATATTTATTAAATACTTTTCATTCTCTAGCTTTCAAATACTGTTAGTTATCGGGTTCTGTTAGCAGAGCTGGGCTTAAGTAATTATTCACATTATTTTTGGCACATCCAGTAATATCTTATTTTATTTATCAGTCATCTCCTGGCCAGCTTGCTTTGATGCCAAGATGAATTAGTTTGAAATGTTCCATCTGTAGTTTAGATCTTGGTCTTCTTTTCAGCATCAGACCACCCCTGGTGCAAGGGAGGTAGCATACTTAATACTTACTTTTACTGTTTGCTTTGATAATAATATGAGCCCTAACTAATTTGCTCTCTGATGGTCAAGCTTCACTGCTATTTAACTTTGATAGTTTTTACATTTAAAGAAGTGTCAGGCCGTAAAGTCTCATATCTCCCTCTCTCTGCTGTATGTACAGCTACAGACTGCCTCAATATCAAACATATTCATTAAATAAACAACGCGTTTTTAAATAGGATTAGGAATACTAAGACTTCTGATGAGCGTCAGTGCTGTAGATGATCAGATTCTTCAGCATCCTGGACGTCATATACCACACATGACTAGTTATTAGTGAGTATGTCAGCTCTATCTCAATATGCGCTCTCGTGCGTTCATCTGTTCTTCATGACGTGTTTGACGTAAGAGCAAATGTTCGGTGCGTGGATCCAAAACAGAAGCGCGCAGAGAACAGATGAAGGCTGCGGAAGTGTTGTGCCAAACGACAAAATCTGGACGACCCACTGAATGATGATGAGACAGAGACGAAGAAACAACGCTGCAAGACTTGTTTTCCTAATGACACGCCACTTCTTACAGGACGTAGTGCTGCCGGCCTTTAATGAATGAAACCACCTGCGGGTCTTTGTATATTGTGTGACTTCTAAGCCACACGATGTCTTCAATATCTTCTTTATCTGCAAGAAAACAGAACAAGAAGACAGGAGAATAGTCCACACATGAGTACATTTTGTTTGTTACTATGTGTGAAGGACTGATGATGATATTGTAGTACCTGACAGTGAGGTTCCAACCTCGGTTTTTGACTTTAACACTTGTCAAAACCATCACACATCAAGAGGCGTCAAGTGAAAGAAACATCATAAAGCAGGACCAGTGTGTTTGAGCCTTATGTAAAGGTACATACTGTAAATGATCAATGTCAAGAAAAGACTAGCAACAGTGGCAGAAGTAAGTGGTGTTTATGATAATTATGAAAAGAACTTTGTCACTTTTTCTTTATCAGCAGAGAAGATGTGAATATCAGCTCAATCTCCCAAAACCAAATTTTACTTCTTGTTTTCACTCAGTTGTTTTAGCGCCGTTATTATTTCTTTAGATTCACATAAATTAGCATATTTAAGGTGATTAGTGAGACATCTGGATGGTACTGCAGTTTGCCTTTTATCTTAGTCCTTAGCAAACACAGTTTCTCATGTTTT